GACTTACTTTACCAAACATGCTCATATACATTACCAAGAAAGTATAGTAATTTGCACATGTACACTGCCACACACATTATTACCCCAATGCAAAGTCCTATTCAATTACGAACGAAGGTGAGAAGGGCAAAGAGGGCGATGGCAACCGGTCCAGTAGATCTGCTGGCCATCACCGCCTTGAGAGTGTGGGAGTGGAACATGGCGGCAGAAACGGCGGTGCACATCAAAATCTGAGCAAAAACGATGGCGTAAACCTTGCGAAGGAAGCCCCAGCGCATCTGCCCGGTCTCCCCTGGGCTCAACCTGTTCTTCCTTGAAAATCGTTTCCTCACATTATTCATCATCATCATCATATATATGTCCTTTTGGGATTATTTAATTTTTCTTAGCTAGGTTTTGTGTGAATATATTTATTTTTCTGTTTTGTGTTTAAAAGCCTGCAGGGATATGATGAAAGCATCATATATTTATATACTCGTATATACTTATAGTCCCCTCGGAATTGAAGTGGAGAAAGAACAACCAAGTCTTTACTCTACTGAAACCAAAATTGAGTGCCCAAACTTTTTTTTTCTTCTTTTCTTTTCCAAAACTAAAAGTAGCTTACAAATTTACGGCGTCTACTAAGACCGACAAGGCGACAGACAACCGGAGCAACGCCGGTTCAATTTCTTTTAGGGTAGAAATTAGATATTCCATCCCTTCTCAAAAAGGGTTCCTACTTTGACCAAGTGTAAAAATTAGGAAGTACTCCGTATTAAATTATACGGAGTAGTTGACTTCCAAATTTGCTCTTGATGTAATAGATAGATTATTAGATAAAAAGTATGATGTGATGGGTAGAGTATGAAAAAGTAAGAGTAAAAGTAGTTTTTTAATAGAAAGTAGAAATGTTTTGTTGGAACTTGAAAAAAATGAAAGAAGAAGTATTTATGGGAACGGAGGGAGTAAGTTTATACTTCCTCCGTCCCTGAAAACCTTCATCCCAATGATTAATAGAGAAGCTCACCTAGGGTGGAGATGTTGGCTCGTTGTGCGTTATTAGATTGAGAATAGTATGAAGAGGTTATACTTTGTAATAGAGTCGACAGCACTCAAAAAAAATACTCCCTCCGTTCTCAAAAACACTTCCTCTTTCATTTTTTCTACTTCCAACAAAACACTTCCCTTTTCTATTAAAAAACCACTATTACCCTTACTTTTTCATACCCTACCTATCACATCATACTTTTTCTCTAATAATCTATCCATCACATCTTACTTTACCCATCATATCAGGGGCAAAATTGGAAATCAACTATAATTTAACACTTCCTTATTTTTGCCCCAAATCTAAATGGGAAGTGTTTTTCCAAACGGAGGGAGTACAAAACAGTTATATTAGATTTTATTTTTAGAAATATTTTCAAAATAATGTTTTTATTTAATTAATATACCATATATTTTTAATTTAATTATATATAAATCGTTGAAAGTGGTTAATTGCAAAAATTAAAATTAGACAAATAATCAGAGACGGAGCTAGTATATAGTACTCCCTCCATCCCAATTTAAATAGCATGTTTCGATTTCTGATATTTGACTGAAGTTATTTTCAAATCATTTTATATGAAAAATGGTGTATAATTAAAAAATTAAAAATTACAAATTTATCTACAAAACTAGTAGTGTTATGACTATATTATTTTATCAAATGGCTAACGAAAATAAAGAAAGAAAGTTAATAATGTTTGACCTTGTAAATAATAAAAATGCAATTCAATTTGGGGTAGAGGAAGTAATATTATAAAAATATAATACTTCAAAATTATATTTCAAAATGAATTTATTGATATCAAATTTATATACTCGTAATATTTTCAAAAAAAAATTATATAATAATTCAATGTACTTTTTCAATAATTTAAAGTCAAATTTTTTAAAAAGTAGAACATAAAAATCAAATTAAGAAAGGAATTTATGAAGGGATGGAGTAAGGCTTCAAAAAGAGCATTCACAATGACAAATAAAAAAATAGAATGTCACGTGATGTTGTGGCACACTTCAACCAACTAGAAGCCGCACAGTCAGAGAGTGATAAAAGAGTGGAGTGGTAGATGCTCTAGTGGGAAGCAATTTTTTTCACTTTTTATATTTTTTGACATATTTTAATTATTAAAAAAAATTACTAAAAAGATACCCTACTTACAAAGTTACAAGACAGTTTTTTCCCAAACAAAATAAAAAATAGAGCGTGGTAGCGTAGAGAGAATGCCTCTCTGACCGTGGAAGAACGGAAGGCAACATTCGATGTGATAGCGGGTCAACCAAAATGACACGACATTATTGCTCTTAATTAGAGGTGGCAATCGGATCAACCAGATCGGTTTCGGGTTAGATTTTTTCGGTTCGGATATCTTTCGGTTATATGTTATAATCGGTTCGGTTCGGTTCGGTTAAATTTCGGTTTGGATTTGATTTCGGTTCTATACATTTTTCGGTTCGGTTCGGTTTCGAGTCGGTTCAGATACGGTTTGGTTATAAATCGGTTCAGATAGATTTCGGTTCGGATACAATTTGAGTCGGATATATTTCGGTTTCGGGTCTAGTTCGGTTCAGATATATTTTGGTTTCGGATCAAATATATTTTGGATATATATTATTTTCTAATCTTCCCTTTTGACGTTTTAGTCATATTTTACAAATTTGGACTACAAATTATGAAAACATATATATTTAATTATGATATAAATTTAATATAATTAAATTGATTTTAAAATTTAGTTTTGAAATATAAAAATTTTCTCACATCTACTAATATACTTATGTATATAAATGAAAGGATAAAAGATAAATTCAAATAGTCTTATGTTCCATTTGAATAGAATTTGGTAAAAATTGAGTAAAATTGGGTGAAATTAAGTGAATTTTATTCAATTGAGCGCAAAATTTGTAAATTATTGAGTATATTCGGTTGAAAATAGAGAAAATTAAATTTAATAGAGTCAAATATAATTAATTTTACACCTAAATGTAATGGTGTAGATCAAATTTGAAAATGAAAATAGTAAAGGCTGCCGCTATAGAGTTTTTTCAAAATGCTAACACTAGCATTTAATTTTATTGACTAATATTGAGTGAATTGGTTTGAAACTAATCAAATTAACTCTCAAATCAATAAAATTTATTGTAATGAGATGAAATTAGGATAAAATCTAATTATTCAATACAATTTATCATATATATATATATTCCTTTTGTCCCAAAAAGAATATCACACTTCACTATTTAAAAATTACGGAAATTTTATTTGTTTGTACGTTATCATTTATATGTATAACTTATCTTTAATTTCTACATATAATAAATTTAAGGCATAAAAATTTGTACTTTTTTTCAAGTAGATAATCCATTTTATGATGGAAGGAGCAAGTAATGTAACTAGTTCAAATGGTAAAATAAAAGTAAAAATTTAAAAATATAATATGCTTATTGAAAGGTAAACATAGTTCTGAATTTATCGATTTTAGTTCTAATCGAGTTCGGATATTATCGGTTTCAGATCTAATCGGTTTCGGATTTTATCGGTTTTGGGTATTATCGGGTCCGGATCTAATCGGTTTCGGGTTTAATCGGTTCGGATATTATCGGTTTCGGATCTAATCGGTTACGGATTTAAATCGGATATGAATTATTTAGTTCGGTTTCGGTTCGGTTCGGATCATTTCGGGTTTTCGGTTATAGATCGGATCTTCATTTTTCAGATCATTCCGGTTTCGGTTTCGAATATTTCGGTTCGGGTAATCGGTTCCGGTTCTGTTTTACCAGGTCTACTCTTAATTACCTCAATCCCCGCTCGCCTTGGACCGATGCCTACATTTTTCTAACTTTAATGCACTATGCCGTCTATGCGTAATCAATTGCGTATTTCCCCTTTTCTACCATTTGTTTTTGGGCTAAAATTCACCATTGACAATTAGTTTTTAAAATTTTAAAATTTTATAAATAGTCTTTCGAGTATTCAACATCTTCTTTTATAAAATAGTTCCATGCATCCTATCTTTTTGTACTCTATCTAAAATACCTCAAAATATATTTTACCTACACTAAGAGCCTATTCTGTAAGGCTTGAACTCTTAAATTCTAGTTTCTTCCAGTTCTTTCAGTTTCTTATAGTTATTCCAATTTCTTCCAGTTTTTTTAGTTCTTTCCAGTTCCGACCAAAGTAGGACCAAAACATTAAAAATATACTAAAATAGGACTTTCATGTTTTTATTCTTGAAATAGGACTTACATTACCAAACATGGTCATGTGCATTACCAAAAAATATAATAATATGCACATGTACAGTGCTAATTACCACAGTGCAAAGTCCTATTTTGGGAAAAAAACATGAAAGTCCTATTTTGATACTTTTCTATATGTTTTAGTCATATTTAGAGTGATTTCTATTCCAATTTCTTCTAATTTCTTCTATTTATTTTTGTTTTCTTCAAACTCTTTCTATTTCCTGACCAATTATTCTAAAAACGATATATTATTATTATGATTATTGTTGTTGTTGTTATTATAATTATTATTATTATTATTACACCTATTATGTTCATAACTACGGAGTATATTTTATAAATTGTTTCATTTTTTCATCTCACTATTTTTATACTTCATTTTTATATTTTCCAATTTTTTCTAGGTTGTTTTAGTTAATTTAATTTTTTCCAATTTCTTTTAGTTCGTTCCTTCCAGTTTCTTCTAGTTCCTTCTAATTCCTTTCAGTTTCTTCCAATTCCTTCCAGTTTCTTCCAACATCCAGCTCTTATTTCCATTTCTAAAGAACATGCTCTAAAAGTAAAAAAGGGTGTATTCACAAAGATTTTAAATGTGGAAAGTCAAGTAAAAAGATTAAATCCAGACGGAGGTAGTAAATATTAATTCAAAAATAACTTAAATAGATTTATGTTGCAAAAAACTTTCAAATTTTTCTTCATTGATATAATTAAACATGCATTATAGTTGTCTGATTATCTACATTGTTTTGTTTAACTAGAATTTATGTTAAACAAGACAGATACTCCGGGGCGAAGGATGTAGCGAGTCTTCTTCCTCTTCAATCAGAGCCCTCCAAGATATTAAGAATGGCCAAGAAAAGGTTGATGATATCCATAAACAGACAAGAAGCTGCAGCAATATATTCGTCATAGCTGAATCGCTTGATCAAGTTGTCGGTATCGTAGATGATGAACCCCGAAAAGATGAGCGCCCCCAAACACCCGTATATCAACTGCCCAATGCTCCCCATATGAACAAACATCTGCACAATAATTATCCAAATGTCATATATAACTCAAGTTAGTGATTGGAGAGAAAAAAATTCGGTTGAGAAGGGGTAGTTCAGTCTCGCTTATTAACACCATTGATGCAGAACAAGGTACCCACATGTCCATTAATAATACTCAAGAACACGTAAAGAAACGTGGGAGTGTTGATTATATATAAATGCATACCCTGATGAGACCAAAGATGAGGAGCACCATGAGAGCACAGATCAAGAAGGGGGCAAGAAAGGAGAAATCAGAGCCTCTCTTGGCAGCCCAGAATGTGTACAAGGTAAGAGCAACAAACACGACTGCGGTCACACCGGCAGCTATCATGATAGGCATTCCTATATGTGAATGATAAACAGAAAACAAACAAATAAGGATGGCATGAATCAAACCCCAATGACTTGTGGCAAGCTCAACCAAGATCCTACATTTAATACTCATCATAATGTATAACTGCATTGTCTCAAGGAACACACATCAGCTAATCCCTTGTTATTAACTCACAACATCATAAATGGTGGCTTTGGTTTGCATTATCAATGAGGCATTGGCAACCAATTAAGTTCATATATTACTTTCAAAAAAAAAAGTTCATATATGAAAAAAAAAATCTCAAGAGAATATATTAGCACCTTTCTTGTAAGTGCACACCACTCCAATCATGAAAGCCATTGAGACAGTAAAGAGCCCCAAAAGAACATAGTTCCATGGATGTTTCTGGCTGCAGAATCCCATTGCTATGCTTACTGTCATTTTACCATCATACATGCACAAAAAATTTAAAACTTGTTAGTATGATATTGTTGGTTTTGAATTAAGTTCTTGGAAAATGTTATTCTAAACCTTCAAGAATCCCTAGGAAAATCCCAAAGTCATATATGAACATGTGTGGATACCAATTCAAAATGATGGGATTGAAACAAAGGACAATCATTGGTGAAAATTAAAAATCACAAACACAATATGTGCATTCTTTTCTCAGTAAAATTCCGTAAGATTTGCTCACGAATGAAGGTGAGGATGACTAAGACAATGAGGGCAATCAGCCCGTTGGTGGTAGCCATGAACGTCTTGACGGCGGGGGTGAAGAACATGGCGGCGGAAACGGCGGTGCAGATGAAGAGTTGGGCGAAAACGATGACGTAAACCTTGCGGATGAAGGCCCAACGCATCTGCGGGTTCTCCATCATCCCAGGGTACAATCCGCCGCCGCCATTCTTCCCGCCAGCCTCGATGTCATTTCCCTTGACGGCGTAGCCGGCCATCATTTCCGCTGAAAATGGTTTCAGATTCTTAGGTTTTGTGTGGGCAATTTCGGTTTCTCTGCGCGTAATTGGGGATTGAATTGTAATGTATATATATATCAACCCCTGCAGGATAGAGCGGGATGAGGGGGTGATATACGCTTGCAGAGAAAATATTAAGAAGGATAAATGAAGAAGAAGAAGAAGAAGAAGAAGAAATTTGTTGAAAGAGTTTCCTGCGGTTCGAAGGAGAGGAGCTGTTACGCGGATTGCGACGCTCCCCGGAAAATTCGGGATGCAGCGTACAGTTTTTTTTACAGGGGCCGGACTACCAGCCCATGAACAAAGGCCCGCTCATCAAAATTTGGCAGGGGTGTTAGCACCATTAAGAATTATCAATTTTCAAACGAAGCACGGTAGACTGTAGTCATTATTGTTTTCATATCATAACAAAAAACTTTTGAAGTTAAAAAGAACTAAAGAAGGCTACCCATAATAAATTTGTTTTTATTATAATATGCAATGACAATATGGATTAATTAACGATAAAAACTTGTCTAATTTGATAAAAAAAAGTTAAACTAAAAGGATACTTGAGATGGAAGAAAAAAATATCTAAAATAAACTCAATTTTACTTGGTTTTTCAAAAATAATCACACGTTTCACTGTGATCCATAATAATCTAACTTTACTAAAATTTGTAAGTTTTGGGTCACCATTAAATGGATATTCATACATGGTAAGTGGGATTAAGAAAGGTGTTGAATTTTATCATAGTATGAAAACTCCTTTTCATACATGGCATGTGAGATTAAAAGAAGGTGTTGAATTTGATAATATGCAATGACATTACGTGAGATTAGAAAATGATAAAATTCAACACCTTTCATGCATGGTATGTGAGATTAAGAAAGGTGTTGGATTACAAGAATTTTTTTAATCATAGTAGAAAAATGATTATAAAAATAATAGAATAAAGAAAGCAATAAATAATACTAGTACTCCGTATTATTTGTCTCCTTACTTTGTATACTTTTCTTATGAATAATTTTAGTAATACTATTTTCACAATATATTTCGAGTTGTTGTTGTATATTTCAAAAATTTATCTAATCGTAAACAATAATAGTGAAACATAATATTTTTTATATAAAATACATAATTTTGGAAAAAACTTATTACTCTGCATACTTTTCTTACTCACCATTCTTTTTTCCATGTTAGTGTCAGTGTGTCACTTAAAATTTTATCAATTACATACTTTTCTTACTACAAGCAAGGGTATAAAGAGATTGTTTCCAACAATTGGTATCAGAGCAAACAACAACAACTAAGCATCTCTCTGTTTATCACCGATTGAACAAAGCTCTGGTTTCAATCTAGTTAATCCGAAGGACTGGATTAAACGGCTTCACCACAACAAAGGCCAATAAAAATCTCAAGATTGGAGATTAGGACCGCCGGTTATTGCATCAAGAAAGTCGTTCTTGATTGTCAAGGGGAAACAAAAAAAAAAACCAGCAGCAAGTCTCTACCGCTGCCATCGAGAAGGAAAACCGCCACGCAGATCGCGAGTCACCGTCGTCCAGGTAAAAGGTCGCCGCACAGTAAGGAGCAGCCGCCGCCGATAGCCGCGCGTAGAAGGAGCTGCCGTCGCTGTCGTCTTCAGTTGCAGAGCTGCCGGGAGCAACACCGACCAGATTGGGCAGGAGCAGCAGGTTTTTGGGTACCGCCGCCGTTGCCGTCCAGATCGAAAGGTGCTGCCGTTGACCCAGTTGCCGTCGAGCTACTGTACCATCCGTCCAAGTACAGTTGGTTGCAGATCCAAAGGATTAAAAGGGAGGAAGTTGGGTAGAAGGTCTTTGGTCCACTATTGTGTTTTGATTAAACAAGTGAGGTTTAATCCGGCTACTGTTTGAGTCGAGTAAACAAAAATTATGACAGAATCCCAAAAACCACAACCGAAGGCTAAGGGAGTTGGACTTACAGTTGTCCAATGTCCCATGCTAAACGCTACGAACTACACCGTATGGGCCATGAGAATGAAAGTCGCCTTAAGGGTTCATAAAGTGTGGGAAACGATTGAACCAGGCACAGCTGATGCCGAGAAGAATGATATGGCAACTGCACTGTTGTTTCAATCAATTCCAGAAAATCTGATATTGCAAGTAGGCAATGAGAAGACTGCGAAGGATCTGTGGGATGCAATCAAAACTCGTCACTTGGGGGCTGAGAGGGTTAGAGAAGCTCGTCTCCAAACCCTAAATGCAGAATTTGATAATTTGAAGATGCATTATTCAGAGTCAATTGATGAATTTGCTGAGAAGTTATCAAGTTTGGCCTCAAAATCCGTAGCCCTTGGAGAAGAGATCGAAGAGAAAAAGATGGTAAAGAAGTTTCTAAAGTCTCTTCCTCGTTCGAAATACATTCATATAGTCGCCTCGTTGGAACAAGTTCTAGATTTGAATAAACTAGGATTTCAAGAAACCATAGGCCGGTTGAAAGCTTACGAAGAGCGAATCAAGGAAGAAGATATAGAAACACAGAGTAAACTATTATTCTCCAATGGTGAAAGCTCTCATTCTCAAAGGGGAGAAAACGGATCGAGAGGACAAAGCCGATGCAACCAAGGTCGAGGAAGAGACCAAGACCAGGATGATGATGACCAAGATGGAAGTCAATNAGTGTGCCCGGAGCGTACGAAGAAACAAGAGGAAGCTAATTTAGCTGAAATTGATGTTCTGGATCCATCTTTGTTCATGATGAGATGTGATCAAGAGAATGTCTTTCTAAATGAAGAAGGGGTGATTCCGAAGCGTTTCGAGGTTGAACCAAAGGAGAAAGATATTTGGTATCTCGACAACGGAGCATCGAATCACATGACCGGTAATCAAGCTTACTTCTTTGAACTTAATGAACGTGTCACGGGAAAGGTGAAGTTTGGAGATGGATCTTGTATTGACATACGAGGAAAGGGTTCTGTATTACTTGAAGGGAAAACAGGGGAGCATCGCTTGTTGACCGATGTGTACTACATACCCAGCCTACAAAGCAACATCATAAGCCTTGGTCAAGCAACAGAAGGTGGATGCGACATTCACATGAAGTGTGATTTGCTAACCATTCATGATGACACGGGGAAGCTTATGATGAAGGTGACAAGGACCAAGAATCGTTTGTACAAGATCAATCTCAAGATAACAAGTCCCAGTACACAAGTTAGCATGATTGGAATGAAGAATTTTGTGGGTAGGGATCTACAAAGAGTTGATCAACTGAAAGAAGGTACGCGAAGTACGAGTCAGAATCTTCTCGGAGATCCAAGTTTAATGGAAAAACCCAAAATTCAGAGTCCAAAGAAGAATGTTCAAGAGTTTAAAGGATATGTCAAGAAAAGGATTCTAACCCAAGGAAGGATGTGTAATGATCGCAAGGAGCAAGTGTTTGTTCAAGCTAAGTGGAGCCTGAAGAACACTGCAAGGGATCATGAAGAGCCTCGGGAGAATCAAGATAAAGAAGACATGCTTGGAGTTGAAGATCACCCGCAATCCAACTCGAAAATTAGGGGGGTGATTGTTGACTAATTATCGAGTAGGATTAGGATTACCCGAGGTGTTCTAGTCCTAGTAGGAATAGAATTATGGGTTGTAGGCTTATTTAGCTCTATATATATCTTAGCCAAGCTTGAGTTATGATATGAGAAACATATGTGAGTTTATTGTAATTGGTTTTGAGTTATTTTCCAGTTATAATAAAGAGATTGTTTCCAACACATACGTCAATTTGCTAACTTACTAGTTATTACATTCATTTTCAAATAAAAATAATTTTTAGATTCTGAATATAAATTAATTTTTAAAAATTTTTAAACATGTAATCTCTTTAATAACTGTAGTAATTTAAAAATACTGTAAATATTTAATTAACTCGATGGCTGAAAAATATCTATTTATTTTTTCTAAAAGAGTAAAAGTTTGATTTTTTAGAGTATAACATTAAAAATGGATGTGAAAAAATATAGATTGTGTTTTTAATTATAAATTTAAACAATTTTTAATGTATCGATGTTAATTTATTATTTACATCAATTTGTCGATCCCTTACATACCGTTCATTTTGGGATGGACATCTAGTATACATAATCTCCATCCTTTTACTATTACATTATCTCTTTCATCTACATCAGATTCTATTATTTCATACTTTTCATATTACAAAATGACACATGACGGTGTATATAAAATAATTTACTTAAACTAATAAGAAAAATAAATTTAAAGTTGTTTTTAAATTATTAAACTCTTTAATGCACTTTAATTAATTTTTAAATTATATAAAGTGTGAGTAATTAATTGACACGATAACATTTCATTGATTTAAACAAAAATACAATTCTAAATATAAGAAAATATCAATCAAAATTTAAAAATAAAAACAATAATAGTAGGGAAAAATCATAAACTAGAATGCTTGGAAAACACATAGACCATGCCAACTTTGTTCCATCCCAAAAGGGAAGGAATGGTGTTATATATTTGCCACAATGCCATGTAAGCTCATTTTGGTACCAAAATAGTTTTAGAGAAATCCTAGAGTCATAATTCACGAACAAACAATGTTTATTACATTTATTTTCGATTCAATTATATGGAAAATGACTTGAAATAAAAAATAAAAGTTCATTAGTTCTGCAAAAGGTTACACTTTTGATTTTTTATCAAACTGTAAAATTTATTGACCACAAACTATGAAAAAGTATAATTAATATTATAATGTAAACCCAACACAATAGGATTCATCTTAAGAATTATGATATGTCAATTTTTTTATAAAATTTTTTTATTTAAATTTTATTTTATCCTTTAAATATAAAAATGAGACTCTAAACTCCAAGAACTTGACACGTGGTGTTTCTAACGTGGCACCTATGTGAAAGGGAAAATGAAATGAAAAGAAAATGAAAACACTAAATGTACGAAAAATAGAGAAAATAAAATTTCTTTCATTTTGGTGAACAAAATAAGAGAAAGTTATTTTCGTTTCTTTTCTTAAACAATAATTTTCTCTTTTACCATACAAATTATTAACCATACACATTCTACTTAATTAAGAATCATGTCTAGTCAAACTACAAAAAGAAAACAATAGATGAAGCACTGAACAAGAGTTATGTCAATGTGTGGAAAGATAGATCCACTCTTTGCGGGAGGGTTTATATTTCGTTAAGTTCAACTAATCTGGACATAAACATGGAAGACGAAATGAATAAGTAATCTTTTCATTTACCTCCTCAAAAAATGGGTGTTACCTTTAATTATCAAAAGTGTTGAACTCAAATAAAGAAAAAGTATAGAGAGTATTTGAAAAGATAAATTTGGAGTATTGCACATCTTCAAGTTGGAATGACTTTTACTTTTCTATTTATCTTGGCTATGGGAATACAAAAATATATAAAAAAAAGAGAATACAAATTTAGAAGTTAGCTTGTCTCTTCCTCTTTTTTTATTCACCTTCTAATTTTAAAGGGTTCCATTAGACCTAACTGGATGATCACAGAGATTAGTAGCAAAAGGTGGGACCTGCATATGCTAATTGCAAAGTCATGTGCTTAGCATACCAACATTGTCTCCGCTAGTCATCCTTTACCGTTCTATTGGGGATGGTCTTGGGGATAATTAAGTCTTTTCAAGAATATGTCCTGATTTTGACTTTGCTCTGGGCATTCATTGGACTCCGTAATTATTAACACGACGAAGAATATTAAGGAGAAATCCATTAAATGCTCAGCTGAATAGAAAATTTATTCATTCAGCGTTAGAATCTCAGGCTGTGAAAAAAGATAAAAGATGGGTTCAATCGGAAAGGTACTAATCGTTCCTGTACAATATTTCAATCGGGTCTTATCTTCTTTGGATGTTGAGCAATTTTGGTGAATTCTAACCATTTAACCCTTCAAACTGAGCTTTTTCGATTTTTAAATGCTTAGATTGCTGATCGGGAGTTTAGTGCTTTGATCTCTGATAAAAGCTAGGGTTTTGATGTTTCTGTTTCGAATTCTTTTCGGTTTTGAGACAGATAAGCATGAATTTGAATTTCTGTCTTCTGGACTTTTGTTGGATGGGAAAGGTGAAAGTATAAATCAAGTTCTGGGAATTCAGTCTGCATATTATTGTTTCCTTGCACGTTTTAATTTTCCATGGTGATCTGCTTGTGCCCAAATATTGGATTTATATAGCAGCTGCCAAATTTTGATGAGATTGATTTTAGTTATAGTTTACAAGAATCGTGTGATTTTGGGCTCCCTCTGGATTGGCATCTTGAAGTTCAAGAGTTTGAATTTGCAGTAGGGTCTAAGGACATTTTGTTTCAGAATTTTTTTGATACACTTCATGCAATCATGATATACTTGTTATGATATATTTAAAATAAATGGGCATTTCCTGCAACTCTAAGAAGACTTATCAAGTAAGGATTGTATGGAAATGGTATGTGTGATGGTAGAACTCAAGATGAAAAAGAAACTTGGTATAGGAGTGGAACCTGAGGAGGACAAGTTGCTGGAGTTGACTTATCATGTGAGGTGGCGGAGTGCTGATGCCCCGGTTTGCGGCGGTGCGCGGGAACATGGGAATGGGTAGACAGGACTTAAGACTTCTGGCCTTTCTGATGCCCCGGTTTGGCATACACACTGACCAAGTGTGTAAAATCTGCATACACACACCCTCCCCAAACGGCTTAAACCTGCAACTTGCTTGATCTTTTTTTCTATTGTTTTTCGTTAGAAGTCAATAAACAGAGTCTTGATCCATATGGGTTTCGTTTGGTAGCCTTTGGAAACTTATTTCTTGTTATTCTGCACATCAGAAGAATAAGTAACTTTGGGCTTACTTATTTGACGGAAATGAATGTTAAAGTTGTCATTAAGAAAACTTTTCAGATTCAGTCATTCGAGGCATAATAATCTTCATCAAACGAAACAAAATTAGGAGAAAGTTGTAGTTTTCTTTTTCCAATATTTTTTTTCCATGCAGGATAGTAGAGAAGAAGTTATTCAAGCATGGTATATGGATGATAGCGATGAAGACCAGAGGCTTCCCCATCACCGTGAGCCAAAGCAGTTTGTCTCCTTTGAAAAACTTGATGGTATGTCTCATTTGACTTTATTCTCTGTTCGGGTTCACATTTCATTGTTCATTCTATGCAAACAATATTTTTGATTTATTACCATATATTTTTTAGAGCTCGGAGTGCTCAGCTGGAGGCTAGATGCAGATAACTATGAAAAGGATGAGGTTCTGAAGGAAATCCGTGAATCCCGAGGATATTCGTACATGGTATGTGAGATTAAGAAAGGTGTTGAATTTTATCCTTTTCCTTGTTGTCTTCTCTAGAATGTTGGTTGTAATCCATAGCACTTCTTCAGGACTTCTGTGAGGTGTGCCCTGAAAAGTTGCCCAATTATGAAGAGAAGATAAAAAATTTCTTCGAAGAGCATCTTCACACGGATGAGGAAATTCGATACTGTGTTGCTGGGAGTGGTAGGTTTTGAGTTGTTTAGACCTCAAACAAGTAGCTTTTCCCTTTCTTGTTTGGCTGAAATGAACGTTAACAAACATTTCTCCTTTGAGAGAATTCAGCCTTATAATTCAGTAACAAATGGGCTCTTACACTACGTTTGGTTTAAGGAATTTGAGAGGTAAAAGAAAAGAAAAGAAAATGAGAGGGTAACCAAATTTTCTTATTTGGTTAGAGAGGAAAAGAAAATGGGAGAAGAATGAACTAAGAAGAAGTAAAATAACTTTCCTTGCATTTTGGTGAGGAAAAGGAGAGAAAACATCTTTCTTTTCTTATTCTTTCGAATTCCTCGAACCAAGCATAGCATTAGTTTTCTATTCTACTTCACCAACTATGTTACAGTTGCTAAGTGATGTACTCCTTTCTATGGAAGGTTATTTTGATGTACGTGACAAGAACGATGAATGGATCCGCGTTTGGGTGAAGAAAGGGGGAATGATAATCCTACCTGCTGGAATTTATCACCGTTTTACCCTTGATTCTAATAATTACATCAAGGTATGCCTAATCAATATTTGTATGCATAAGGTTTTGATTAAGGAAGCAAATAGATATTCCCATCATATCGTTTTTTTACTACCGCATGAAGTTATTGAAATCCATACTCGAATGGGTGTGGTCCACAGTTATACTCCTCTCTCGGTGAGCCCTTGTTTGTTATGGGAACTTTCTGAGGGGCTTGCTTTGGTACCAGAATAGTTTTATTTTACTAAGAAAAAGATGATGAAATTTATATAGAAATACGAGTATATGATTTGACTAAACATAGACTCCAATGTTAACAAGCCCATTATAGTCCCGGCTTCATTGAAATTTTTTTGGAGAGGGGAGGGGAGGAGTCATAATGTATGCAACATTACCCGTATATATACATAGAGGCTGTTTCATGAGACCCTTGAGGCCTTGATGCATTGTTGCATTTACTACCCAAAACTTCATAGAGGAAAGAACTAAGAAGCTTGTTTATATCATTATTTGCCCGAAGATACACATAAACTCCCTTTGCTCAAATTATTTTTCGTTTTAGAAAAGGTGCACATATTAAGGAACCTAACAAGCTGATCATAGTATCATACAATCCTTTTGTAAGTTTAACATTAAAACTATGTTTTGTTTGTGGAATTCAAAAAAAATGGAAAGAAAAAAAAAGAAAGAGGTTTTCTCTCCTTTTTCTCACCAAAACGGAAGGAAAATTAGTTTTCTTCTTCTTAGTGCATTTCTTCTCTCAATTTCTTTTGCTCTCATTTTTTTTTATTTTTTTCTCTTTAACCAAACAAGAAAGTTGTTCCCTCTCTTATTTTCTTTTCCTTTCTTTTCCCTTTCAAATTTATTGAAGTAAACATAGTGTAAAGCGCTTTTTTCCATTCAATGTACAACATTTAAGGTAGAAGAGTTAACATGGTCATGTTTGGAAACTTAGTAAAAACAAAATATATGTAACGAATTCCTACAACAAAAAAGCAGTCTCCCCTCCGAAATCATGCACTAAACAATCCTAAAGAAGCTAAAACTTGAATTTTGGTTGTATGTTATGAATTCTTCAAAAGTTGCTTCTGTTTTTGTTAGGCAATGCGGCTCTTTGTTGGTGAACCTGTTTGGACTCCGTTCAACCGTCCACATGACCATCTCCCTGCCAGGTTCATTTGACATCTCTTTCTTTATCCTCAGTGACATTGAGTATCCTTAAATGCTTGTCATCATTTGCTGGTAGTTTCAGAACATGTTCAAACATGGACATAATCTTAACACTCAAAATGACCAACTTTTTTAATTTAAAAAAAAAAAAAACTAACAGGAAACAATACATCGAGACATTTGGGGCAAATGAGGCTGTTACAGGCCATGCTGTTAATGCTGCTGCTTAACTTTACTCCCTAATCTACTACTACAACATCAGTGCTTTACTGCCCTACTACCAACTATTGTATTATATAGTGCCAAGAAACTTTAGGCCACACTTTGATAAAATAATGTCTCCAATGGCTCGCCATATGGGAGTGTCACCGTTTGCGTATCCTATGTGAACTTTTGCTTCAGTTTGCTTTGTAATTGTATACATTATTTCAGCAAGTTTGGATCTGTTAACACTTCAGGCTGAAATATATAATCCTTTTGTTCCATAAAGAACACATTTATTATTTGCATGTCTCAAAATAACTTTACACTGCTCCATGAATAAGTGTCTCCCAATATCAACCGCATATTTTTTTTTGGAACATTTTTCTTAAACATTGTGAAATCTAACAATAAAATTTTCGAGGAGTGTATAAAGAATGACCATTATCTTCTGCCACTAAAGTGGAGGGGCAGAGGGACCTTCTGGCCGTTGTGGGGGTATGCACCATTATTATTTAGAGTGGTGGCTCCATTGCTTTCATGAAAGTGGACCCAATTCTTATTATGAATGCCACATTGCTACAAATTCCCAATCCATCTTTAGATTGATTAAGGCCTATTATATTATTTGTACCAAAAAAAGGTCTACTCCCTCCGTCTTAAATAAACCTCGCAATTTCTCTTTTGGTCTAACTGTGCAACATTTTGACCACAACATATCGATCAACACTTTGAAACCGACTTATCCCTTTTGACATATCTTATCAACCAGTTGCATTACGCTACTGATAATAAAAGTATAATAGTAAAAGAGAGGATGTTGGGTACATGAAACACACACACACACAGATATATATATATATATATAGAGAGAGAGAGAGAGAGAGAGAGAACTCCCCATACCCCACACCATTCTTTAAATTCCCTTTATTTCCCTTTTATGTCCTCTCCATCTTAAACCAACTATACTCCATTGCAACATTTATTCCTCACTAATCTCAAACCCCATCTATACAAAATCCCATAATATATCCAAGGAGTTAAGTGAAGCCATATATACTTTATGTATATGGATCCACTGTGTGAGGGAGTGATCAAAGAAGAGGTGATGATGATGGGATGTTTGGAGAGGTCAAATGAGAGTGGTGGTGATAAAGTTCCACAGCCAATGGAAGTGTTTTATGAGGGTGGCGGCCTTCCACCGTTCCTTACCAAGACTTATGAGCTGGTTGAGGATCCGACGACTGACGATGTCATTTCTTGGAGTGGAAGTAACAATAGCTTCATTGTTTGGGATCCAAATTACTTCTCCTCCCTTCTCCTCCCTCGCTACTTCAAGCACAACAACTTCTCAAGCTTTGTCAGGCAGCTCAACACTTATGTAAGTAATTAGTGTTTCTATATCATACATTTCCCCTCCCATATTCCTCTCGTTTGACTTTTGTGATCAAGTTGGACAAACTTTTATCGTCACTTAACTGAGTTAGACAATGACGTAGTTTTCAACCCCTTAATCCCATGTAATTAGGACCGGCATCATTAAAATTAAATAAACTATGGAGTCAAGCAAAAAAAATAATTGTTTTGAGATATAATTCAGGTCACACTTTAGTGGTTTTGCATTGAAAGCTCCCCTAATTGTGTAGGGATTTAGAAAGGTGAATCCTGAGAAATGGGAATTTGCTAATGAAGGGTTCTTGAGAGGTCAAAGGCACCTCTTGAGAACCATTAGAAGAAGAAAGACATCTCCAAACATTCATCAATCGGCTTCTTCTCGTCAAGCAGAAACGGGCATGGGCTCGTCTTGTGTTGAAGTTGGGAGGTTTGGTATGGTGGGCGAAATCGACCGTTTGAAGCGCGACAAGCAAGTGCTAATGGTGGAACTGGTGAAGCTGAGACAGCACCAGCAAAACACCAAAGCTGATCTCAAAGCCATGGAGGATAAGATAAAGGGGGCAGAAGTGAAGCAGCAGCAAATGATGAGTTTCTTGGCAGAAGCTGTGAGAAATCCAGAGTTTGTGGAGAAGATAATGCAACAAAGGGATATGAGGAAAGAACTTGAAGATGCCATAAGTAAGAAGAAGAAGAAAAAGAAGAGGAAACACATTGACCAAGGCTTTCATGCCATAAGTAATAATAAAAATGATGTGAATGATAGTATCATGATCAATGACTTTGAACCTCATGATGATAATGATGATGATTTTGGAGATATTTCTATGTTTGATGAAAACTTGGAGTTGGAAGAGTTTGGCACAATGTCCATGGAAGAAGACGGTACAAGTAAAAGCTATAGTATGATGATGATAGATTTGGCTGATGGTTTTGGTGGTGCTAGGAGTGATGAAGGGTTTTGGGAAGACTTGTTCAATAACAATGATTATAAGTAGGATACTTGTACACTATCCCAATAATTGGAGGGGTACCCATCAAAATTTAGTTACTCTATTTGTTATGGAGTAAGAGTGCTCATAGAGTGTCCGATAGTACCCCTACCCTACCCAATAACATCGATGTTCTGAAAATCATCAAGAATGTTGTATGTATCATATGAGCAAATGAGTGTCAAGGGATGACACCGACTCCAATCGAAATAATGATCCGTTTGTAAAATTAATGACTCTTGCCTCCTTAACCCTCCTCTCCTGGCATGGCATGAACTCATCACCCACCCATCTCCCCAACCCCTTTAATTTCATCTCCAATGTTTTGTTGACTTTGGGATCAAAAAATTAAACTCCAAAGTCAACACAACTTTGGGGATGAAATTGAAGGGGTTGGAGTGCGAGATTTACCCGAGAGGTTAAGAGATAGAAATAATATTACGAATAGAACATCATAGATTCTCCAAAACCCTAATAGTATTGTAGCGACCGTTGTCAAGGGAACCCCTCATGTACGATATTCACGAGTTAGATATGGATATTACTATAAACTTGTAAAACGAGAAATTTGAAAAATTGAGGTTAAAAATAGTTGTGAGAATAAAGATAAATTAAGACATTTTTTAGGGACAAGAATTTTTTTCGTTAAAAACTTTAAAGTGAATATTTGAAAAAAGATGGATGATGGAGTCCTATATTATCGATTCGGACAATGGATTGAGAGAAACTAAATTGAAATATAATCTCTCTTTTTAAGATATAACTCATTTAAGAGTAAGATTTGTCCTACAAACAAAAAATCCAATGCTTAATATGGTCATTCTTTTCCCTAATTATTAGGATACCAAACCGGATTAATATGGGAGTACAAAATCCAAAGTCATGAATTAGGTCTGGAAAAAGTATGAAAGTGCTTGGACTCTATGATATGGGACGGGCCTAATGTCTTGAGGCCTCCTATGTGTGTGCGGAATACATACATATAATGTGAAAATATTAAGAACGTAACAAAAAAACTAGTATAAAGAAATTGCTCTTGTCTTCGCGGTCAAAAGCAAAGAGTCTCCATCGACATCTCGTGTTATGCTATTCACATGACTTTATTTTAAGATAGTGTCGCGTGGCAATGGAAAGTGGAAGAAGACCATTCTCTGCTTTTAACCACGAAGAAGGGGACAATTCCGTCATATTACCTTTTTTTTTATCTTAGTGTATTTTTTAATTTAACTTTTTTTTAATTTAACTATACAATTTTGAAACTCAATTAAAAAGACGTACTAATATGCAATACAAATTGAAAGTAATTAAAACTCAAAATTTATCCAATTTGCTTCAAAATAGTCAAGCTGAACAAATACATTCAGACGGATGTAGTATATGGTATATCACTTAAATAAAATAATGTTTTGAAAAAATCAATAAATAACTTTAATACTTTGACTAATAAATAGTCACATATGTGCAATCAAAGACTATACGCTTAACTGAAAGCTGAGTGAGAATATATCTAACCTTTGAATTAATTCATAGACATGCATAAACATATAGTCATACAATATCCAAAAAATCAACAAATATCATTATTCAATATCATGATCAATCATTCATTTGTTCACTTCGAATCTTGCATATTCTTTACTACAATCATCCACTATATTCCACATTAATTCGAATCCAAAATCTCACCGAAACTCTCAACGAAACTTAAGCGGAAACTCCAAAGATGTCTCAATGGTAGCCCTTCTCTACATTCCTTCCAATCATTCATTTTCATTTTTTTAAAACTTTGTGTCACGTCAAATAGAAGCTTCTTTTCAGAAGAGATGGAATATTTATTTAATTTGTTGTCAAAATTCGCAAATTCATGAAAAAAAGTAAACGAATAATTATGTACAGAAGGTATGTAGTAAATAATATTTGAAATCATCACTTTTAATCATGATAATTGTTTTTTTATAACTTTTTTATGATATAGCCTAATTTTGAAGAACCCTAACGACTAAATTTAACAAATTATCACTATATAAGGTGATAAAAACACTAAAATTGTTGTCGAACATATGCTTAACGCTTAACTTTGTACCCCAAACATTTCAAAATCACTCAAATAAACAGCATTTTGTTGCATAAAAAGAATCAAATCTATTAATCCCTTTTACTCAATAGATAGAGATGGCACTTATGGCACCCACATTCAATTAACACAAGATTACAATCTTAAGCAGTCAAAGAACTAAGAGTACAAATTTTTCACATTCGCCCACTCTCGGGCCGAGTCGGGTCGGGTCTAAACGTGAACAAGCGGGCCCATCTGGACGTACTCAGTGAAGGCCAGCGCGACGAGGCCCAACATAGCCATCCGCCCGTTCCAGATCTCGGCGTCGGCGCTCATCAGCCCCGCCGACTTCGACTCCGCCGTCACCCCCTGGAACAGCGGCACCAGCGACGCCAGCGTCAGCACCACGCTCGTCCCCACGAACCACCCCACGCCGCCGTTCGAGATCTGGTTCAGCAGGTCCCCGCCGTTCGCCAGCTCCGCGCCGATCGCCGCCACGAACCCCACCATCGCCAGCCTCCCGTTGATCCTCTCCGGCCCCGGCCCGCTGAACGAGAACACCTTCCTCAGATCGGCCCCCGATTTCTTCGCCGGAGGTGGTGGAGTAGATCTCGGGGCCGACGGCGGTACGCCTGATTTCTCGGAATCCTGAAACGTTTAAAGCTCATGAATCGTGTAAATTGAACAAATGTGCACTGAGGATTATTAAATTAAACAATTATTATTATTATTACCTCAGAAATGCTCCTGACGAGGAGATTCGATTTCCTCTGAGAGATGTGTGGAAGAAGAGAACGATTGTTGAGCCCATTTCTGAAGCCCAATGGGCTTCCGAGGATGGATTGGATCGCAACACCGGAAGAAGCCATGGAAATAGATTAAAGGGGAAAGGAAAGGGGGATTTGAAATCAATGGAGTTTGATTTAGATTTAGATTGGCTAGAGGTTGAAGACGGGTAGATATAGGGAGAAAGGGGGAGGAAATTGGTGGTAAATATGAATCCACGTAAAGTGGTTCTGGGCCGCGAAAGAGGCGAGTGGACTGAAGTGGAAGTGTGGGGGAGACAAGGGAATCGGCAGGTTGACGTGGCGGCCTTGTGTCCGAGATTGAGAATCTCTGGAACTCCGTGGAATCTTTTTATCACACAAGATGGAAATTCAAATTGGATAAAGCTGTTTGTATCCCAGTTTGTACTCCGCAGGTTTGCACCAACACTTTCTGTTGGTGCAAAACTAATTTTTGTTAATGCATCAATACTTTGTGTCTGTGTAAATTTTTGTTAACGCATTAACACTCGTGTCGGTGTAAACCATCAAAATGTTTGTGTATAACTGCAGTGTACAAATGGGGTACAATTTGTGGTGTAAGTGTAGCATGGTTGATTCAAATTTTAGCCATCCCTCAAACTCACAAAAGGCTTACATACATTCAAATATTAAATAAATGAGTAAATTTTTCTCATCGTTTTGTATATTTAATCCCTACATATCAAATATTACTAATTTAGTCCACAATTACTATACTCCCTCCGTCCCAAATTATTTGTCACATTTCTATTACCGAGGCAAAATATCAAGTTTTTTCAATTCATTTTATTTACATATTGGTAAAGAAATGAAAAATAAAAATTACATATCAAAAAACTATATGAAAAGTTCTTCGAAATAAGAGGTGTCAAGAATATTTTATTTTATCAAATAACCAATGAAAACGTAGAAATAAACAAAAGTTCCCGCGACTATTGAAAAAGCAAATGTGGCAAATAATTTGGGACGGAGGGAGTATCATTTTTCACAAATAATCCTTTGTTAATATTTTTGTTAAGAACATGGATAAAATTGTATATTCATACTTCTCTCTCCTCAATTAAGATTTCTCCCTCCTCTCGTACTCTTTCACAAACTCGTCGCTCAGTTTGAAGTTCTAAATCCAAAACTGAAATGATCATTCCTCTTTCAATTATTAATCTTCCTGTTGAATCTAAAATCAAAATCAATAAGCTTTATGGATGAGTTTTATCGGTTAGTCTCAAGAAATTGCAAAGAAAATAAACATTAAAATTCATTCATGAAGGTTACTGGTTTCGAATTTTAGTTCCACCAGTTAGGTAAACAATTGAGAGAAGAGTGATGATTTCAGTTTTTGGTTCAAAGCTTCAAACTCAGCGACAGGTTTGGAAAGGGAGTGCGAGGGGAGGGAGGAAACTTAATTAAGGAGAGAAAGGAGTGTGAATTTATAATTTTATCTATGTTCTTAACGGAAATGTTAACAAAGAATCATTCATAGAAATGAATACAGAGTATAATAATTAGGGACTAAATTAGTAATATTTGAAATGTAGGGACTAAATCTGTAAAACGACCTATAACTGTGGAATTTTTATGCAATTTACTCTAAATAAATTATACCTCAAAATTGTCCTTAGTCCTTTTTGCAAATTATACGGTTGAGCCGGTTGTACCGTATTTCTGGTACCATCGGCAATTAGATCAAACAAAGGAGAGGAGTGCCAACAAAAGGGAGACTGCAGTTGGATTGAAGGGAAGGCCGGCGCAGCAACCTATGTGCGATAAAGTGCATCACACATCTATCGGTGGTGGTGGTGGCGGTGGCGGCGATGCGAGAAACCCCCAATTGCAGCTGTATCGCTGGTGATGGGGTGGCCGGCGCAGAATCTGTGTCGATTTGTAGCAGTGCGATGCGATGGGATTCCATGAAGACGATGACCATTGAGTATTTAAGTTAAGAAACTTACCCTAAATAAAAGTAAAACAATGGAGAAAATATGAAAATATAAGCTCCATATTTTCTCATCAAAATAGGAGTTTACATTGTGATAATGTGACACTGTACATGTACATCTCATAATATTTTTTGGTGGCATATGGCCATGTTTGGTACAGCCGGTTGTACCGTATTTCTGGTACAACCGGCAATTAGATCGAAGAAAGGAGAGGCGGCCGACGAAAGGGAGACCGGCAATTGGATTGAAAGAAGGTTGACGCAAAACCTATGAAGTGAAGCACACATTGATCAACGGTGGCGGCGATGCGAGAAAACCCTGACTGCGGCTGCATTGATGGTGATGGGGAGGCCAACGCAAAACCTGCGCCGATTTGTAACATTGTGATACGATGGGATGCCATGAAGACGATGATTGTTCAGTGTTTAAGTTCAATATTTTCATATGAAGAAAATATGAAAATATAAGCTTGATGTTTTTTCCTTAAAATAAGAGTTCTTATTGTGATAATGTGATACTGTATATGCACATTTTATAATACTTTTTGATAATATAAATAGTCATTGTTGGTACTCTAAATTTATTTTTACTCTTATTTGGGGAACGAAATAATTGGAATTCTTATTTTGGTATATTTTCAATGTTTTACTTTTACTTTAGTTTATTTCTCATTAAGTTAATTAAATTATTGAATTATATTTTTCAAATCTGAAGAGAATGAAAAGTACGTTATTTTAGAATGAGCACTATTTTTTAGAAATCACCCTAAATAGGACTAAAACATTAAAAAAAGTACCAAAATAGTACACTACGTTATTCGTAATTTAATATTATAATTGTATTCAACAAATGTGTGAAAATTACGACTACATTATTTCAAAATGAATACTATGATATTTCAAAATGAGTTTTACATTATTTTAAAGTGAATATATTTTGTACTAAAATGAATACTACTTCACTTCAAAATGAATACTATCCAGTTATACATTACTTCTTTTTTTTGGAAAAATTACCCAAAATAATCCCAACTTTACCCGGTCTTTCAAAAATAATTCCATCTTTCACTGTGATGCATAATAATCCCAACTTTATTGAAATTTGCCAGTTTTGGGTCGCCGTTAAGTTTCCAACGGATGGTTAACGGAAATGTCCGTTTTAGGCAACAAAATGAAAGTTGGGATTATTTTTGATGAATTTTTGTTTTTTAATTTTTTTTGAAATTTTTATTTAAATTTTTTGAATTACTTTCAACCTCCATTTCTTTTTCTTTTTTAAAGATTATTCTTACCTTAGAAAAAAAATATAAAAAATAATGAAAATGATAAAAATAACTAAAAACATACAAAATAAATCAAATAAATAATGTAATCAATAGAAATTAAACAGAAACTGGTAAGAAATAAAATAAATATATACGGAGTGGTGGGTTTTAACATTTTACACATTATACGGAGTCTTAATGTACTACTTATTTTTTAAAAGAACAAGCCGTCCGGTAAAGTTGGAATTATTTTAGATAATTTTTTCTAAAAAATAAGAAGTGATATAATAATACTTTGTATAATGCGTAAAATATTAAAACCCACCCGTATATTTTTATTTTACTTTTACCAATTTCAAGTTAGTTTTCATTGATTCCCTTATTTATTTTATTATTTTTGTATCATTTTAGTTACATATCTCATTTTTTCATTTTTTATATCTATTATTTTTATTTTTTAAACTAAGACTAACCTTTAAAAAAGGAAAAGGAAATGACGATTGAGGTAGAAAGTAATTAAAAGAATTAAATGAAAAAATAAAAAAAAATTAAAAAAATGAAAATTCATCAAAAATAATCCCAACTTTCATTTTGTTGCCTAAAACGGGCATTTCCGTTAACCCTCCGTTAGAAACTTAACGGCGACCCAAAACTGGCAAATTTCCGTAAAGTTGGGATTATTATGCATCACAGTAAAAGGTGGGATTATTTTTGAAAGATCGGGTAAAGTTGGAATTATTTTGGGTAATTTTTCCTTTTTTTTTTCTTCTGGTACAACAGATTGTGCCACATATGAACTCGCCCTTTTGGAACAATACAATTCTTTATCCATGATTCAAAAATTAGATTCGGAATAAGAAATGTGTGATGTGAGGTAGGGCAATTTACAACTTTGATACAATTTGATATACTCGTAACATTACTTCTCAACCCAATCCTCGCTAGTATTCGTAAAAAATACTTGTTTGATTGAGAGAAAGTCGAACAACAAGAAACCAACTATGCCACACCCCGGTTTATTGTTTGGGCCGTCTCTGGACTCTGGGTAAAGAAAGAATATTACGCTACTGGGCTTTGTGGATGTTGAAATATATTGCCTTAACATCCAATAATCAAATGGGCTTCGTGACATGTAGGAAGCCGAAATCTCATGGGCTCAGGTCCGAATCTAAAAGCTTGTTTCCACTTATAATGGGCATTACAAAAAATTGCTGGCGGGTACCCTCTATTTCTTGATAAGAACTGCTAGGTCCCATTATTTTTCTAAATATACTCCGGGTACCTTAAATTATCTAAAAAATTACTGAGGGGTGACAATCCGTCCATGTCTCCGTTAATTTCTCTCACCGTTACCTTTTTCTTCTTCTTTCCTGTTTTTTCTTTCTTTCTCCCTCTCTTNTATTTATTAAAAACAATTAATTAGTAATTTTACTACTTCACTCTTTTATAAAAATAACATTACTTATTAGTATTACTTTGTATTAATTATTATTTATTTCTAATTGTTTTATTTTTCTTCTATTTTTTAATCTATTATTATTATTAAAAGTTAATTACTACCTCCGTCCCAGAGTATTTGTCCACTTTCATTTTTACACACCATCCAATGCACTTCTTTAATCCATTTTATCTTGTAATTTGTATATTAAAAAATTATAGAAATTATATATTAATAATATGTATGTTAAAACAAATCAAACAAGATCACACTTAACTATATTTAGGCTTACACATTGAGAGAATTTGATTACTCAAAGTACTTAGATGAACAGTTCCAAAAGTCAAAACTGGACGAATGGCTTTTACAGCTGTTACAGCTGATGAAGTTAAGAAGTACATGTTTGAAATCCCAAATCACAAAAGTCCAGGCCCAGATGGCTTTTCTAGTTGATTCTTCAAACATCAATGGGACAAGGTTGGAGGACTCATTGTCAGAGCTATCAAAGACTTCTTTCAGAAGGGGGAAACACTTAAGCAGGTTAATGCCACCAACATTACAGTCATACCTAAGATTGAGGATCCTAAATATCCTACTGATTTAAGGCCATTGCATGTTGTAATGTCATCTACAAGGTCATATCTAAGATGATTTGTGGCAGGCTGAAGAAAGTATTACCTACTCTTATAAATCAAAATCAGGGAGCTTTTGTTGAAGGGAGAGAGCTTGTGCACAACGTGCTTCTGTGCCAAGAACTAGCAAGAGGATACAACAGAAGGAGTATATCCCCACGATGTCTCATGAAACTGGATCTCCAGAAGGCTTATGATAATGTGAGTTGGAAGGCGATTGAACAACTCCTCTGCCTAATGAAGTTCCCTTCAATGTTTGTTAAATGGATTAGCTTTTGTGTTTCTACCACCTCATACTCTATTCAACTGGAAGGAGAAAGCCATGGATTCTTCAAGGGTGGTAAAGGCATTAGACAGGGCGACCCCATATCCCCCCTATTATTTGTTATAATTATGGAATATCTTTCAAGGACTTTCCAGTATTACGCAAAGGAAATTTCAGCTATCATCCTCTCTGTAAGTCTCTAAACCTCATCAACCTTATTTTTGCTGATGACCTCATAGTAGCTACAAAAGCTGATGAAAAATCTATCACATGTAAACTACGTGCTCTTGAACACTTTAAGAGTACCACTAACCTCTCAGTTAACTCCTCAAAATCTGAGGTCGTGTTTGGAGGCATCACTAACCAAGAAGAGGAAAGACTCCTCAGAATTACTATGATGAAGAAAGGGTCTCTGCCTTTCAGGTACCTGGGTGGCCCAATTACTTCCTCTAGAATCAGCGAACAAGATTGCAATAAACTGATTGAGAAGATGACTTTGAAAATCACATCATGGGCAACCAAGAACCTTTCTTATGTTGGGAAGGTTAAACTCATAAACTCTGTCCTCTATGGTATCATTAGCTTCTGGAGTAGGTTATTTATCATCCCGGCCAAAGTCATGAATAAAATTCAAGCCTTATGCAGAAACTTTCTATGGGGGTCCTCTCATGAATATAAGAAGATTCCTTTGGTTTCTTGGGATGAAATCTGTATACCAAAGAAATATGGAGGATTAGGGCTAAAAAATCTGTCCAAGTGGAATTCTGCTTGCATCATGAAGCTGATCTGGGATATAGCTCTTAAAAAAGATATATTATGGATCAAATGGATCCATAACAAATATCTCAATGGATGTACAATATGGAATTGTCCCATTAAGAAGGATGCTTGCTTCTACTGGAAAAAATTGCTGCAAACCAGGGACTTATTCAATAATATGGAGAAATCTGTTGACTATACCCCTACTGCAGGCTATGAGTGGCTAATGGGCCAAAGACAGAAGGTTATCTGGAGACCCATTGTTTGGAATAAATTGACCATCCCTAAACACAAATTCATTCTTTGGCTGTCTTATAGGGATCGGTTGTAGACTAAGAAGAGATTGAGTAGATTTTTAGATATGGATACATCATGCCAACTTTGTCAAAGTGAAGAAGAAGACAGAGATCATCTTCTTTGCAGATGCTCATACACTAGAGAAGTACACATGAAGATTGCTAATTGGACTGGGTTTAAGTTCATGGCTAACAATTTTGAAGAGATAACCCAAAAGCTGTTAGAAATATCCCCAACCAAGAGAAGAATGAGGAGTATAGCTATGTTTGCTGCTTGTGTTTACAATATTTGGAGGGACAGGAATGATATACTTCACCGGAACTCCACCATCACCCCAGAAGCTACTTTCAAAAGAATTAAGTCCCATGTCACCATGTTTCTTAATTCTAGAGGAGTAAATGTTGAATAGGATGTTACTTGGCACTTGATTGTGGTTTCTCTTAAGTTGTATTGTGTATCTTACATTTTGATGGTGGAATAAAATATATTTGCTTTCGGTTCAAAAAAAAATAATAATAGAAGAAGAAGAAAAGAAATAATAGAGGAAGAAAAAAAGGGGGGAGGGATTTGGGTGGGGGGGGCTAATCGGAATTGGAAAGAGAGAAAAAAAGAAAGAGAGGGAGAAAGAAAGAAAAAACAGGAAAGAAGAAGAAAAAGGTAACGGTGAGAGAAACTAACGGAGGCATGAACGGATTGTCACCCCTCAGTAATTTTTTAGATAATTTAAGGTACCTCGGAGTTCTTATCAAGAAATAGAGGGTACCCAGCAGCAATTTTTTGTGGGCATTATGTATAAAAGGCTTTTCTTCCAGATATATGCCCAAAACTCTTCCCTCCTTCCATGAACATTGGCATAACTTTTTCTTCCTAGAAGGCACTTATAAAAGAAAAAATTTGGATTTGGCCCGGCCCATTATAGCTTGGGTTGGTTTCTCAGGTATTCAAACACATTTCCAACAATTTGCAAAGAAATTAAGAACAAAAACCCAGCAAAAAAATGCTCAATCAAATCAATTCATGCGCAATTCAACACAGCAGAAGATATAAGATTATCTCAATTTCACATAGCATCAATGGATTCATAACATTTGTAACCAAAACAGCAAATTCCATTGGCTTGTAATTGCAGAAACAGGCGAAGAAGATGAAACAGCAGAGCAAGAAAGAACATAATCTCTATTTTACATAAATATAGATCGGGAAAAACCCTAAAACTCCTGAGACAAAGATCCGATTTCTCCCTTGGCACCAGTCTTCTTAGGCAACAGAGTCTGATGGATGTTTGGCAACACACCTCCATTGGCGATCGTCACGTTCCCCAGAAGCTTGCTCAGTTCTTCATCGTTCCTCACTGCCAGCTGAATGTGCCTCGGGACAATCCGAGTCTTCTTGTTGTCCCTTGCCGCATTCCCAGCCAATTCCAAAACCTGGATCATCAAAAACGAGAAGATCGAATTCAGGAAACATGACTCAATCTCGAGATCTACCGGAACAGTTACATCATTCGACTCCAATCAGACCTGAAATAGCCAGATCAGAGTCGATTTCCTGGAAATCAACGAATTGATCAATCGAAAGTAAGGAACAGAGGATTACCTCGGCGGCGAGATACTCCAGAACGGCGCAGAGATAAACCGGAGCGCCGGCGCCGACTCGCTCGGCATACTTTCCAGATTTGAGGAATCGGGCAACCCTACCGACGGGGAACTGGAGGCCGGCCTTCGATGATCGGGACACAGACTTCGAAGCCTTCGGCTTGCCTCTGCCGGAGCCGGCGGTTCCTTTGCCTCCGCTTGAACTCATCTTGCAGTAGAAAACCCTAACGAAAATCGGCTGTCGTTGAAAACCTGTGAAAATGGACTTTTTCTGTATTTCGAGGGACTGAGGAAAAAGAAAGGAGAGAACGGTATATATAGCTAGTGCGGGTATGCTCTGATTGGTGGAGAGATAGGGACACGGATTGCCAGCGTGGCATGATGCCCCGAAATTTCTTGAGGCGCCATTCAATTTCCCTTTATTTGAAAACTACCCGAGTTTAAAACTAAACACATTCGGTTTGGAGGCAATTTTAAAATTTTTACGATTAAATTATACAAATCTAACCGGCCTAATTAATTACGAGTAAATTTCTTTTTCAAATATACTCCGTATTCGACAGTTTTTTTTTAAATATTCTCCCTATTAACTAATAATTTTAAATCATTCTAAATAAGATTGTTTCAAATTTCAAAACTCATATTTTTCTTAAATTTCAAAACTCATATTTTGTCGTACCGCCAAATTTAACCAAATGGCCTCTTAGAATTTTAATAAAAATGGTAGACATATCTAATGTGTTGAGCATCAGCAATACCGTTTCAGTTTGAGTACAAATAGATGACTTGTTCATCCCAAAAAGTGGAAATGTGAGGGCATTTGTAATGTGGGTGGACTCTCGATCACCCCGCCCGTCTCCGTGACACGTCCCACCTCTCCGTTTATTTTACACTATTCATCATTTTAAATAAAAGTTACATAAATAAATCTAAAGTACAAAATGCTAACAACACTTTTTATAATAATAAAAACAAAGTACATATAAATAAAAAAATAAATAAATATTAGAATTAAGTATAGTTGCACCTCCAAATTTCTTCGATTAAATCATCCTAGAGGGTAGCATGACTTCGTTCATTGTGCATAGTAGCACGTTGATGTGCGAATTCTTGTAAATTTAGAGGTGACCCTTGAGCTGCTCGACCTTGAACAACTATTATCTTCAAAGTGGATGTGTCCCCATCATTTGCAAAACGAGTGATGTTGTTTATATCATCGTCAACTATCATATTATGCAATATAATACACGCAAACATGATATCCATCCACGATGAACAATCGGCACTACAAGCCTGCAGGGCCTTTCACTATTGCCCATTGGGATTGTAAAACTCCAATCGCAGGCTTCAATCGTTTTGAGTCGACTCCAGTTTCTAAGCGAACAATGTCATCTTTGAATTTATCGATAGGTGTTAGTGTTTACAAACACTGGCCCCGTTGATACATCTCATCCATCAAATAATATCCCATGTTATATTAGAGACCATTTGTGGTAAATTGAATGACTAGCACACATCTAACGCACACATCGTTGAATAAAAGAGAGTCATTCAACACGTTCAGATCATCGTTCGACCCAACGACTCCAAAATACGCATTCCAGATCCACAAATGATGGTTAGTAATGACCTCGAGCATAATCAGCGAGTGTGCGCCCTTATAACCATTTTTGAATGCATCCATCCACGCCATAGTGTAATTTTTCAACTCCAAATGCATACGTTCTAGGCTGGCGATCATCCCTTGAAACCCGTGCATATTCTTGTGCATAATGACCAACATCTCAACGTCATGGAGAGTTGTCTTTCACAAGTACGTCTCCTTGAGTACGTCAACGACACCTTAGCAAAGATTAGCCAATAGTTCTTTACCTGTAGAGTTGTCGATGTGGATGTACTCTTCAAACATGCTTGTGCAGGTGTTGTACGTGAGCTGCCTAATCGCAAGTATGCCGTTCTGTAGAGTGTATAAGTCTTCTCGTCCTATCGATGTTGAAAATACACATCACGAGTTTCGAGTGTGTTTGCAATTCAAAAGAATAAGACACAATGCATTCGAAAACACTGGCGAAACTTTTCATCACAAAAACACGAGTCGTTGGAAAAATAATCTTAAAACAAACAGCAAGCGCCCAACCCATGGTACTGCGAATGTACAACTGGGTATGTGGAACGGGTGGAAAATTCACCGCATTCTGTCGAGCAATTTCATCTTTGATTTCTGTTTATATTAGAGGCAACGACTCATGGTACATTGCAAGTAGCATATTCTCAAGCTCATCATGCGTTGGTGGGGGGGGGGGGTCTATCTTTAAAGAGTGAAATGATGATAAATTAAAAGTTGGGTGAGATGAGATTGAATATGGATAAATTAAAATTGGACAAATGATGAATTTGTAGAGTTGAAACTTAAAATAAAGTTATTCAAACAGCGGGGCACGTGGTGAGGGGGTATGGTGGGGCTAGCGTGGGGGTTTAGGGGTGAATTAGGGGGTAGGAAGCATCATTTTTTTTATTGGAACACCAGAGGTGCTCTAAAAATGCAGTGACACCGCTAGTGTCACCATTGGCGAGTGTCAACGGAACCACGCCCAAACAATAACAATATTAAAAAAATATTTTGTAACACCCCTTCAAGATATATCAGGGAGATTATGAATATCCATACATGACAAAAGACGAGCAAAATGGGGGATATAATCTTCTAAAGCTTTAGTGAAGCTATTGACAAGTTGATAAGCGGAAAGAATGTGCGTTATAAGAAAATACTATGTTATGTGTAATTATTTATTTTGATTGGGCTCAGGTCACCCGTATAATGGATACGTAGTTGTGCACTACTATGGATCCAAAAGGAACAACACACTTACCCAACTTTGTCACACTCCACTCACAAAGAAAAAGCAAAGAAGAGAGAAGAACTACACAGAAGGGATAAACTCACACATAGGAGACTTTTTTTTCCTCTCTTTTTTTTCACGGTGAAACACAAAGCACACACCACCATATTATATAGGATTAGTAGGGAGTTAATTAAGGTAAAGTTAATTAGGTTAAGGAATATAGGATGGGCTTGAGTAAATGGGATGCTCGGTTGGGTGCCAAAAATATCATTAATATGTTTGGGCCAACCTAAAATAAATTAAGAATCTCCATCATTGCCCCAAAGTAGTGCACATAGTTCACAAGAAACCACGGGACTCATCATAGACTTAATTTTCACTACATGTGTAATCAGTGGATGAAGAACACAAGTAATGAATGAGAATACACGAAGTAAACTCGAGTCATGAAGACTGGGACATAGTCACAAAGCATGTCAAACCTCACAAAGGGACGAACTCTACCATCGAGTCCTCGAGTTCAAAAAACAAAAGAAAAACGAAGTCACAAAGCAAGAAAGAAACAAATGGAAAAATAAACCACAGAAATATCAACTCACTATCACAAAGAAAGTTTAAGATCTTTTAGCATAAGGTAAATATTTCTACAGGTAAACACGAAGTACCCATGTCAGCCGGATTAGACTTTGTAGTGCATTGATCTCCTCTTGCATCGTTGTTCGCTAATCAGGGTACGTGTTTAACTACCTCTAAGAAAAAAATGAGTTCCCCATCTACACTAATTGCTACCATAAAATATACATGCGATAAAGAAAAGTTATTACGGTTAACAAATTAAATTCAGTTATGCAATATAATTACTTGTACTTAAAGAAAAAATAAGAGATGTAATGACAAAACCTCTAACAGAAGGAACAAATGTTGGACCCCATACACCATAGCATAATACATTAATAATTAAAAGGCACATCAGCCTTGTATTCTGATAACTCAAAAGTTAACAAGAAATCAAAATCACACCATCTCAATTAATAATTTTTTATTGAATAATGAGTATTACATCAGTATATATAGAGAATATATAGAGAATCATAATCAAAGTAGAATAAGGAATTATGCTAAAAATAAAATAAACTACGGAGTAAACAATAAATCAAGAAATCAAAATCACCTCATCTAAAATATAATACTCCTGCATGTGAGTGTTGGACAAATGGCAAAGGTAGGAAGTGCCAAGGGGGTAGACCTGACCTCGATTCCTGACAATTGCGCTGCGAGGTAATTATGTTAAGTATATGATCTCTGCAAGTACCATATACTTTCTACAATCAATCTGCGATCAAAGTCTAATTTACCTCTTACCTGTAACCGTCTGACCGGATCTGAAGGGGACCTCAAGGACAGGTCAAGGCTCATTCGGATCCCTTTTAAATATAATACTCCTAACATGTATGGACATGAAATATATTGTTACCTACCTAAGAGCACAAACCATAGCATCCTTGTACACTTTTCCTGGTTGACAATAATACCCTTTGCTTGGAGCACAATGAGAGTCTTGTGAGCAAATACACAATCCTTCCAAAGCACAACCATCCTTTGCAATCACCAATCCTTTCCTAAGACCTAAAACTTGATCCGTCCAACCACTTGAGAACAATCCTTTAGGGTCATACTTGTCCTTAACTTTCAAGAACTCATCAAACTTTGCATACTTTTTTATTGCCCCTAAGAAGGCCACATTTCTGTTCTTCCCCCAATGTGGCAAGGCCCCGTACTTGAAAACTGCGAGCTGTTCAATTTCTTCTAGGAAGTCTTGATAAAGTCTAGGAGTTGTTGGGTCTTTGCTCCGGTAGTAGGTAATGTCGAAGTCTATTGAGTCGTCTTGTTTCCCTAAATATGCACTCGAGGATGTGACATATCTCATGAGTATGCCATCGTACAACCCCACACCGCACAACGCTTTTGGGTCCAAATTCACCAAGTTTTGTACCTCTTCTATAAAACCTTTCACCTTGGAGAGACTAATGCTAAATGTTGTTTGGTGAAAGAATAACCCCTTAACTCTAGGGTCCCATGGACAAGTTGTTAGCAATCCATTGTTTAAGCTGTCAAGACAAGTTCCAGATGATTGAAGCCGATTTTGGTATCCAATTATAGGGTACCCAGTAAAGATGACACCTGTTTATGTGTGAAAAGACGATCAAGATACAGTTGATGATGAAGAATAATGATGTACAACAAGTTAAATTAAAGCAATGTCTACTGCTCTGTATAGATAAATAAAAAAATATTACCATTGTTAGTAAATCCATATCCAGCAGCTTTTAAGATGAACTTGGATGCATCTGCAAGTATGCACTTCCCGTTCGCATAATTGAGTGCTTCCATACTTTCCTCTACACAAAAACACCTAATTTAGTTAATTATATGAGTGGAAAATAATAAATCTAAATTTACATGTGGAATTTAAGAGGATAGATTAATTTAAGATAAGTGCTAATGATAAATACCTGCAGTTCTCACGAGGCCTAACACAAGTGAAGGAATGGGTCGAAATCCCAAGAAATTATTGAGACCTTTAGAGGGCGCGTTTGTCTTGACCCTATTATCAATGCGCTTCACAACTCTTCTTTGGCTAGGAAACCAAGCCATGTCTCCAAATTCGTGTTGGGAACCAAACACGGTCGCGTCCTCCCCCAAGTCTCCGTCATCCTCCTCAGCGTACGTCATTGCCCGTTTAAACATCGGTTCCAATTTCAGGGTCACCTTCAATATTATAATGGATACAAATCATTTATTAATGTCTTGTTCAATATACCTTCAAGAACTACTAAAAAGTACTACTTCCGTCCCAAAAAGATTTGTACGTTTTGACTAAAGTTGAAATTAAGTAAGGAATAAGTTTGTGTTGACTTTCCAAAAATACCTTTGATGTGATGGGTAAAAGTTGGATGTGATGTGTAGATTATTAGGAAAAAGGTATGATGTGATAGGTAGAGTTTGAAAAAGTAAGAGGTAAAAGTAGTTTTTTAATAGAAATGGGTAGGAGATTATGGGACGTAATTTTTTTGAAAGGTGTAAATCTTTTTGGGACGGAGGGAGTCAGGGGCGGACCCAGAACATTTGAACCGTGGGGTCGAAATTTAGAAAATTTATACCCAACCGTCACGCTTCTAACAATAAATAAAGAGTATTCTATAATACATAACATTAAAGTTTATATATGTTATTGAAAATAATAACTAAAAATAGTTCTACATTGCAAATATGAAATACATCTTTGGATTCTCACTCAATTCTTTCTTTTTAAATCTTGGTGTTTTTTTTAAATTTCTTTGCATCCTATATTAAAATTTAAATAATTAAAAACACTATAAACTTAAAACATAACCTAATTATATTAACATATTCACAAATCACAATCTTAAAAAAATAAACGAATTCAATTCCCTATTCTGCTATTCACAGTAACAAATTTATAACAATAAATTAAAATTTTCATAATTTACAAATAAAAAAAGAAATATCCAATTTAGATAATTAGATTCAATAATGTAAGAGAAAAAAGCTGGCAAAGTAGAAATGGAAGATGAAGATTTGTTCGAGAAACTGGGGATGTCATCTTCCAAAAAATAATATATACTCATTCCTTTGCATCCTATATCCTATATTTAAATTTAAATAATTAAAAACATGATAAACTTAAAACATAACCTAATTATTATATTAACATATTCACAAATCACAATCTTAAAAAAATAACTGAATTCAATTCTCTATTCTGCTATTCACAATAACAAATTTATAATAATAAATTAAAATTTTCACAATTTACAAATAAAAAAAGAAATATTCAATTTAGATAATTAGATTCAATTATGTAAGAAAAAAAATCTGGCAAAGTAGAAATGGAAGATGAAGATTTGTTCGAAAAAATCTAGTAAATTAGAAATGGAAGATGAAGATTTGTTCGAGAAATTGGGGGTGTCATCTCCTAAAAGATAATACCCGGAGTATATACTCACTCCTTTGCATCCTATATTTAAATTTAAATAATAAAAAACATTATAAACTTAAAACATAACCTAATTATATTAACATATTAAAAATCACAATCTTAAAAAAGACAATAACAAATTTATAACAATAAATTAAGATTTTTATAATTTACAAATAAAAAAAAATATATTCAATTTAGATAATTAGATTCAATTATGTTAGAAAAAAAATCCGGCAAAGTATTAATGGAAGATTTGAAGATTTGTTCTTGAAATTGGGGGTGTCATCTTCCAAAAATTAATGAATACTCATTCCTACCAGCTAGTTTCGAACTCAAGGCCGCCCACCCCAGTGCAAAACACAGAGCATACCACTCCTTTAGTGGGTACATGTTGAAACTTGTAGCGTTTGTTAAAATATACACTAAATCTAAGTATACACTAAGAAAATTGTATATATATACTAAAAAATTTTATAATTTCCGTGGGGTCGCTTGACCCCATATGACCCAATGTGGGTCCGCCCCTGGAGGGAGTATGTGATTAGTGAAATTAAATTTGCGTAGTACTAAAATATATATATGTGATGTTCTAACGTAGTACTTAAACTTTTTTATTCCCCAAATAGTACTTGAGTAATGCTTGAGAATAATGTTCAGTGATCTAATGGCGCTGAACATTTATTTGAACAATGATCAATGGAGAATGATCAATAGTACTATACTGCATTGAGAAAAAAAATATATGATACTACATTGGGAAAGTCACTATGTTTTAGTACTATTTAGATAAATTTTTCTTGTGATTATCATTAGCAAATGTAATTAGGTTTGGTATAAATGAGCCTATTAATAATTTAATACTAAACCTCTCCGCTAACATTTTCGAGTGTGAGATTACTATATAATTTTAATTTTTATACTTTATATATGTAAGTTTATGTATTAGCGCATGCATTTTACAATTGAGAAATTTACTTAAATAGCACTAAAACATAATGACTTTCCCTTAAATAGTACCACATGTGTTTTTCTTTCCAATGTAGTACTTTTAGTCATTATGCATTAGTCATTATTCAAATATATATTTGTCATCACTGAACATTATTAAGTGCTATTTAGAGAATAAAACAATTTAAGTGCTACTCCCTATGTCCCGGAATATTTGTCCAGTTTTGACTTTTGAAACTGTTCATCTAAGCACTTTAACTCATCAAATTCTCTCAATGTGTAAGCCTAAATATAGTCATGTGTGATCTCGTTTGATTTGTCTTAACATATACTTCGTAGATTATTAATATATAATTTCTATAATTTTTTACTATACAAATTACAAGATAAAATGATTTAAAGAAGTGTATTGGATGGTGTGTAAAAATGAAAGTGGACAAATACTCTGGGACGGAGAGAGTATTTAGAAAAATGATTTAAGTTTTAGTGCTATTTATTGCAAATATTTCTTTTAAATTTTATTCTCCATATTTTTATAAGCCTAATTATTTTTCTAGCACATGAACTCAAAAATGTGGGAGCTGGCCATCGGAAAACATGCATGCATGAGCTGGCCATAGATGGAGGTAGTAACATAGTTTTATGGTTTGAATATTACGGAGTATTATATTAACATGCCTGTGAAATCACTCCAAGGACGCCTAGGGAAACCCTAGCTGCATTGATCTCCGGGTTATCTTCTTCAAGTTGCCGGACGGCGGCATAGCCCTCCTCCGGCGACGCCGGAGTCACAATCCGAACCCGGACAACGAAATCATGAACGGCGGTCCCTGCCGAGCGCCACAACGAGCTCCCATGAGCTCCCGTGGCCATCATCCCTCCCACCGTCAACCCCCACCAGTACGGCGTGTACGGCAACGCCATCCCTGCCTCCGCCGCGTCGTCGATCAGTTGTCGGAGACTCACTCCACTCTCCACCGTCGCCGTCATGCTCCGGTTGTCGACTTTCAATGTGCGGTTCAGGTGCATTGTGCTGATGATCAGACCGCTACCGCCGCCGCCAGGGCACGCCAGCTTGGTGATGCTGCTGGAGAACCGGGTGGCGGCTTTCATCTTCTGGTTCTCCTTGGTGGCTGCAGCGATGACGGCAACCAGCTCCTCCTCCGTTCTGGGATAAACAGCTTTGGCTGCGCGGCAGATTGTACGATCTGGGAAAGTACCGTAGGAGTTAGTGAGGGTGCAATTTATATTAGTTGTGTGATTGGTGCATTTGATGGGGTCTTTTGGTGGGGTGGAATGAACATGTGACAATATTATCATGAAGAAAATATGCATAACAATGGCACATATTACTCGGTAGCCCATCTCTTTTATTATCTCTTTTTGTTACCGAGTATGTTCTTATTTATAGAAGTATTATGATATGTAGTAGATATAATACCGAGTATAATTGTTGGAGTGTGGGATATGATTATGTATTTATGTTTTATGACTTAATTGTCATTACTTTTTGCATTTTTCCTTGAAGCTTCAAGTTATGTTTATTTGTCAAAAGTACACATTGGACTTCTCTTGTCTCCTTTGGACTAAGTTGCTATTCAGAATTTTTAAAATTTTATTTATCATATTAATAAGTAATACAAATTGAGAGAATTTGAAATTTATAATTTATCCAGTTCGACTTGAAAAAGTTAAACTAGACTAATATATTGAGACGGATGCAGTTCATAAAATTATAATTTGGCCTCATGTGATATGTTGATCATCACACCAGATTAATATATTTTTGGTGAAAGAATGATAAAGTTGTGTTTTAATTTTATGAAAGTTTTTAAAGTTCATATACCGAAATGAAATAATACTTAAAGTTCGTATACTTAGATATAGGTATGCACCCCTTTTGGCCCTTCCATCAAAACTATTTGGAGGAAGAATTTAACAAAATTTACACCAATCTTGTCGCGGATAAATAAAAACAAATAATGTTTGTGTGTTTCTGAGAGGTTTGGTAACTTTTGTTTGCTTGCATTTTTCATTGATCATTTCATAAAATAAAATATTCTTATCAATTTTTGTTTCGTAGAAATTTTGAAATAATTTTAATTTTGTAAATTTTATTTTTATAAAAATTTGTAAATAAAATAGTACTTTCTTTGTCTAAGTTCTTTTTACACTTTACGCAAAATGAAGTAAAATTTTAAGTTTTTAAATTCATTTTATTTACAGATTGACATAGAAATTTTAAAAAAAATTTATATATTCAAAAACTATGTCAAAAGTTCAACAAGAACAAGAAGTTATAAGAATATTTTACTCCCTCCGTTCTCAAAAACACTTCCTCTTTCATTTTTTTTACTTCCAACAAAACACTTCCACTTTCTATTAAAAAACTACTTTTACCCTTACTTTTTCATACCATATCTATCACATCATACTTTATCTCTAATAATCTATCCATCACATTTTACTTTTACCTATCACATCAAGGGCAAAATTGGAAGTCAACTACAATTTAATACTTCCTTATTTTTACACAAAGTCAAAAGAGGAACACTTTTTCCAAACGGATGGAGTATTAAATATTCAATCAAATACGTAAATAAACAAATGTTTCTCTAATTTTTAAATAGTGAAAAATGTAATTTTTTTGAGACATTGGGAGGATTAAGAATCACAACATTCTACATTTTGTTCGAATATGGTAAATTATTTTTGGGGAGAGTATAATTCTTCGGCCCTTTGCAATTTTCCACACGCAATAATAAGACGACATAAGTTTCGACTTTTGATTTTTTTTAAATGGCGTACTTTTGAATTTTGAATGACACGCTATCAACAAATTATTCGCAAAATAGTGCCTTTGAATTTATTCATCAAAAAAAGAAAATATCAGTCAAATTGATCGTAACTCCGGTATTTAATGCAGAGTATAAGTAATATTTAAACAATGTTTTGATGTTTATTTATAGAAAGTGATTATGTTTTAGTGCTATTTAAGTAAATTCCTCTTTTTTTTATTTCAAAAAAAGTATTACATTAAAAAACTTTGGGAATCGACAAAAATTTCATTCGATCCCGTGCGTCGCACGGGTTAGAATTCTAGTTTAATACAGAGTATAAGTAATATTTAAAGAATGTTTTGAAGTGGTTAACTTGCGGGTAAAGTATTTTTTACAAAAACTAAAAGTAGAAGCAGCATATATCTGCTTCTCCGAAATGATGTTCTATGTACAAAATGATATCGAGTAAGGCGAGTAGTAAAGAAAAATAGAAGTTGATATACCAAATAGAATAAAATAACTATCACTTAAAGCAAAAATTAAATTCTGATTATGATCTTAACTTGTCTAAAATTCTCCTATTAAAAAATGCTTCAACATAAGAAATAAAAAGATTAAATCCGAATGAAGGGGAAAAAGGTATTTTTTGCTCAATTATAAATGCGTATGAGAAACAAGAATATTAAATAAATCCAGACGGAAGAAAAAAAATAAGGATAAAGGAGAAGATTAAATCCATACGAAAAGATTATTATTTACTCTGTCTGTCCCAGAAAATATTTTTCTTTCTTTTTTCATCCGTCCCAAAAAACATTTCTTATTTATATTAAAAAGTTACGGAGTACTTTTACTTCTTATTTTTTCATACCCTACTTCTACTCATCAAATTCTACTTTTATCCATCACATCAAAGGACTTCAGAAATTCAATACCAAAATACACTCCACTTAAATCTCTTCAAAACCAAAATATCCCATGATTAAAGGGACAAAAAGAGTAATATTTATACACTACATAACAAATACCGCCCTCATAACACTATTTGTAATTTTTTCAGTTGTAGTACTCTTTTTTTTTGACTTGTCAGTTGTAGTACTCTAGTTCCACTTCAATGATTATACATTTTATACCATTTTTAATACTTATCTATTTATTACGGAGCATAAAATAAAATGAAATGAAATAATATCTTTTGTAATTAAAATAAATAATTTATTTTTATGTTTTTCTTATTTCCTAAATTTGTTTGTTTTATTTGCTTTCATCCCAACCCTTTAAACTATGTATACTCCAAAAATTGTATCTCACTTTGTACTCCGAAGGCATGCACCAAAATTTTGTGTTAGTGTAATACTGGTTTGATGATTTACAACGATAAAAAATATCGGTAAAGATTATTTTCATTGATTTAACATGGCCCTAGCATGGTTGTCAAAAAATTGGAAAATGCTAGGAGCACACCAAAAGTGTACTCTAAATATCCTCCACCCCTCCATAACCACATAAAAAAGTAAGTTAAATTCAAAAAAAAATAAAAAATAAAAATGAAATACGAAGTAAAAGAATGGTAAAGAGTGGGATGATACACATTTAGAGTAGACCTCTGGTGTATTGAGCATTCCCTAACAAATTCTCTAGCAAATGCTATTCATTTCCCAGCTAATCAGATGCGTCATTTCTTTTTCCTTTTTTTTACTAGCGAGTAGACAAGTTAACTGATCACATGCGTCATTTTTTTCTTTATTTCTTTCTTTCTTTCTTTACTTAAATTGTTACTCCACTTTATATTTACTCAGGACTTTCAATTATATTCATCCAATAAAAATCGGATACATGTAATACACAATTATTACTTTTTGAAAAAAATAGTTACATTTATTTTGTAATCAAAAATCAATACTCCCCAACTGTAAAAAAACTAAATTGTTGATTTTGTCTACTTATATAATTTTATATTGTTTTGATTTTTGTATAGTTTTTATTTTATACGGAGTATAATTTTTTATTTTATACGGGGTATTTTTTAGGATCAAAACAAATTTTTTATGCAACTTTGTACGGAGTATTTTAATTTTTTTGGGAACAAAACACAACAACACAATAAGCAAAGGTCATGCCATTTTACAATTTAATCATATTTACTTATCTACTCCTTAAATTTAATTTATTGTGTTTTAAATTTTTGGATGATGTTATTTGTACCCCAAGAATTTGTATACCATATGAATGCACTAACATTTTGTGTTGGTATAATGCTAATTTTTGTTAATGCACCAACACTTTGTGTCAGTGTAAATTTTTGTTAACGCACCAACACTTTGTGTCAGTGTAAATTTTTGTTAACGCACCAACACTTTGTGTCAGTGTGAACCATCAAAATGTTGGTGCATATCTTTGGTGTATAAATGTGATACAAATTTTGTGGTACATGTAGCATGCTCCTAAATTTTTTAATGAAAATTATATTTTACGTGTCTTTACTTGAACGATCTTAATTAAATAAACTTATTTTATTTTATGTGGTAATTTTATATAATTTTCTATATAACTTTATGTTGTTGACTTTCTTAATGGTTAATTATATTTATAAATAAAATTGGTAGAAAATATAGTGAAAAATACAATTATATACTTCCTCTGTCCCGTAAAATTTTTCAATTTTCACATCTTACTTGTTCGGTAAAACATTTCAATTTGAGCTAAATGGACACAATTGCTTTACTTTTCTTAAATGTAATTGAACCTACTTCAACTATCTTCTACACCCTACCCATTTTGATATTTTCCTAGTCCTACATATTTCAATTGTTGTCCTTTCATCTTAGTCAAACATCTATATATTTTCCCTCTCAAAAGTCAAAATAAGATTAAGATGAAAGAAAATATTAGATAACTAATCAAATAGAAAAACTGATAGAATAAAAATACTCCGTAGTAAAATGCTGATGTAGCAAATTTTGAAAAAGTCTGAGATTGAAGTAGTTTTTCTGAGAGTCTGGAAAAGAGTTTGAACTCTGAAATACTGAAGACTCTTTGGCTCTTTGCATTGGGGATGCCCTTAATAACTAAGGATGTGTTTGATGAACAAAAGAGGTATAAATTTTGATTTTTTCAGATATGAGAACTTTTTTGGTGTTTGATGAAGCAAAAAGAGATATCGAGTTTGATATCTCTACATTTCATAAATCATCCTAATTGATGGGATTAACCCGATCAGATGGCGGACAAAGAACGTAATATGAATCGGAAGAGATATTCACTCAATAATATTCTTTAATTAAGTGTGTAATTGTCTGGGTGTGTCTTTACAATGGCGGGTTCTTTCCCCCTTTATAGTATTCTAATTTCTTAATTAAAATTACACATAATGGGAGGAATTATGGAGATCATGGGGTTGTGATTTCTTCCTTTCCGGTCTCGTTCTCTTCCCATTTCGCCCCAACCTGGTGATATGGGCCACATGTCCTGTTTCTCTCTTGGACTGGATCATCCCAATTCGGCCCACGATTGGGTTGTCTGTTTCGTCTCTTCACAAACACCTTGGTGGACTCGATCCGTTACCCGTACTTGGACTTGTCTACTTTGCACGACTGTGGGCCCTTATTGGGCCTGGAGTCGGGTCCATCAGACCCGATATCCATCACTAATGATAGATTTTGATATCTCTCGAATTTGTGAGATATCAATATAGGGGTTTGATATATCTTTCATCCGTTGACCACTCTTTGCCACAGGTTACCATTGTCACCGCCAACCATCTCTGTTGCCAGTCACCATTGCATATCATAAATTAAATCATGATTTTAATTGTTTTCAAACAATTTTGTTTAGATATCCGAACTCATATCGTTTCTCTCAGATTCCAAAACTCATATTTTATCATATCTTCAAAAACATTACCAAACAGGTCTTAAGAGTTTTTTTATGAAATATTTGCACTAAATAGCACTAAAACTTAAGTTATTTCTCTAAATAACACTTAAATTGTTTTATTCCCTAAATAGCACTTCATAATGTTTATAATGACCTGTGATGATAAACATTTACTTGAATAATGACTAATGAATAATGACTAAAAGTGCTAGATTGGGAAAAAACACATGTAATACTATTTAGGGAAAGTCATTATGTTTTAGTGCTATTTATGTAAATTCCTCTTTTTTTATTATATCCAAGTATGTAGTGTTTTGTTGGAAAAAGAACTTCCTGAAATATTTCAATTCTAATTTTCACGTTGTAAATAATAATAGGAAAATAGTTTCCCATAAAAATATCATTGATAAATTATTTTCATTATTCTCAAAAAAATTGTTTTATTCCTTCTTTGCCTTCGCCCCATGCCCCCTCTGTCCGCACCTACTTCGATGCCTCCAGTCTCCACTTTTGAAGAGCAAGAGAGGGTTAATGGACGGTGTTTTTTAGGCACACTCATGAGATGACCAGTGGTGGACCTACAATAGCCCAAGTGGAGTCAACTCAGTCAAGTGCACCCACTAATTTTTTTCTTCAAATGCTAGCTACAGTGTCCATTTTACACTTATGCACTCTTATTTTACATTCATACACTCTTATTTTACACTCCTAGATAGCTCAATTGTAAAGTTTATTAGGGTGGGTTCACAGTGTTAGCTACATATATCACGGAGTATCATATACTCCCTCCGTCGCAAAAAGATTTACACATTTCAAAAAAATTGCGTCTCATAATCTCATACTCATTTCTATTAAAAAACCACTTTTACCTCTTACTTTTTCAAATCCTACCTATCACATCATACCTTTTTCCTAATAATCTACACATCACATCCTACTTTTACCAATCACATCAAGGGTATTTTTGGAAAGTCAACACAAAATTATCCCTCTCTTAATTTAAACTTTAGTCAAAATGGGTAACACTTTATGGGACGGAGGGAGTAGTATTTATTTCTTTTTTGCTCAAGGTACTGCCTTAGTTTTCAACAGAGTAGCTTTTATTTACTCCCTCCATCCCTCATAGATCTTCCCAATAGTCCTTTTTCTTTGTCCACAATAGATCTTTTCATTTCATTTTTTAACAATTAAAATACCACAACTACCCCCACTCACTTTATTTATTACACCTCACCCACCTCATTTAATACACTCCACCCATTTTTCATTAAGTGTATTATGGTAAACTTTCACCTTTTTTCAACTCTCCTTAAAAACCACCAAAAGTCAAAATGAGAACATCTTAGGGGGACGGAGGGAGTATAATATAGGTATTTTGATTGATTAATTAAAAAAATAAAATATTCTCATTATTTCTTATTTTATACTCCCTCCGTTTGCAAAAAAAGTTCCTACTTTGACTTAGAACCAAAATAAGAAAGTGTAAAATTATAGTTGACTTCCAATTTTACCCCTAATGGAATAGGTAAAGTAAGATGTGATGGATTGATTATTAGAGAAAAAGTATGATGTGATAGGTATGGTCTGAAAAAGTAAGGGCAAAAGTGGTTTTTTAATAGAAAGTGGAAGTGTTTTGTTGGAAGTGAAAAAAATGAAAGAAGAATTATTTTTGGGAACTGAGGGAGTTTTGTTTTTAAATAAGTTCTGTTTTTTAATTTTTATGGTAGTAACAATTATGGTAGTATTAGTTATAGTGGTCTTTGACTTAATTTTTAAATAAGTTTTGTTTTTTAATTTCTATACCAAAGATGAATATTAAAAATATCGAAATTTTGTTTCATTTTACATAAAATGTAAAATACTTTGGAACGAAAAGAGTAGAAAATATGTGTCCAACATATAAAAAAATGAACCCACTCTCACAACACTCTAAGGGCAGTGGGTATACCCGTAACGCCGACCGGCGTTATGCCGATTTTCACGCCCCGGAAACACCGCCCCCCGCGGCGTTACCCGGGCATTACCAGGCGCCCGTCAAACAAATGACGCAGCGTCATTCGTCTCTCCCTCCCCCCTAACGGCTCTTTGAGCCGTTGCACCCCCCAATTCAAAATTTTTTTTTTATTATAATTTCAAACCACCCCTTCCCAATATCTCACACCATCTCCATCTTCAATCTCTTCTTCTTCCCAATTTTTAAATTTCAAAATTCAAACCCCCCCTCCCAATTTTCAACATGAATCCTTCCGGCTCCGGCTTCTTTCCCGACAATCTCGCGCCCCTCGATGCCGCGATGTGGTATTACCAAGAGTTGGGCGATCGACCGCCGATGTATGAGACGCAACAATCGGGGTACATCGACAGAGATTCGGTTCCAGAGACTCAACCGGAACCGTCCGGGTCGAAAAAAAGTACACGCCGGAAAAGCCACAAAGCCAAAAGCACGTTGACCGAGGCGGCACGGTCAATCCAAAAGTGGATGTCGGAGGAGGAGTGCATATTGGCGTCGGCTTGGGTTGGCGTCTCCGAGCATCCTATCATTGGTAAAAAATTTATTTTTTCTAATATATTTATGTTTTTATTTATATATATTATATTTAATGGTGTCTAAAGAAATTGTGTAATAAATTTTTAAAGGTTCGGAGCAAACGAAGGATGCGATGTGGGATCGTATCGAGGAGAAGTTCTTCACGGCGATGAAGAAGGACGGCTCCTACCGAACCCGGGACCAACTCATTCCAAATGGAGCCACATCAACCGTAAAGTCCGAAAATTTATCGGAGTTTACGAGGAATGCTCCCGGTCCCGGAGGAGCGGGACGAACGACGCCAATGTTCTCCGGCTTGCCACGGCCCGATATCAAGACGACGGGCACCAAGGCAAGGTGCCCATCGATCTTTGGAAGATTTTGAGTCGTTCCCCGAAGTGGCAACAACTCAACAATCCCGACGGCGGATCGTTCCGGAAAAGATCCACCGTCGATGCCGAGGATGAGGTCGACGAGACTATCAGTTCAACCGATCAAATCCCTCCCTTCAACGTTGCGGATTCTGATGACGAGGACCCCATTCCACGGCTGATCAGAAGAAAGAAGGCAAAATCCATTGCCTCTGGTTCGGGAGGGTTCGCCTCTGTTTCCGCTTCTTCCCGCGACGAAATCGGCCGGGAAATGGTTGAACAACTTCGGGCGTTCAATCTCCGAGGACAAGAGAGGTTGAAGCTAAAGGAGAAGGAGTTGAAGCTATGATAAGGAAGATGAATTATATTATTAATTAGTTATTTATTACAGTAATTAGTAGTATTTAGGGTTAAGTATGGGCTCAAGCCCATTAGGTTAATTAGGGTTTTCATATCTCTATATATTGTACTCCCATCTCATTATTAATCAATCAATAAAGAAATATCACAACTCTAATATCCTTCTCTATTCTCTCGGAGTTCGGAAAGTTCGAAGTTTTCCATCTTTCTCTACCTCATATTCTTGGAGCTTGAAGAACGCTCGAAGTTCTTCCCTATCCGATACGATATTCGTATCAAGCTAAAGGAGCAGGAGGCCGAGATAAAAGTCATGCAAACCGACCCCGGGACGTTATCGGAGTTTGGACTAATGATCTACGAGAAAAGAATGAGAGAGATCATGGAGAAATATAATTTACCTTAGTTTTTTTATTAATGTATCTTTTTTTAAATTATTGTCGCTTTTTTTATTTAATTAATGTATTTTTTTTATTATTAGTGTTTCAATTTGATTAAATAATAAATTAATTACATTTTATTAATTTAATTTTAGAAGATGTATATTTAAAAATGTAAAAAATGAAGGTTTGAAGAACCAGTTTGAAGCCCCGGGATTTCAAACCCATTTCCATTGAATTTTGGGTGTAGAGAGTGAAGGTTTGAAGCCCCGAAGCTTCAAACGTATTTCCAGTGCTGATGAGATCGGTCGGTGATGCCACATTGTTGGGCAATGGACCATCGGGAACATAGACCGGCGCACGAACGGTGGCAGAGAACTCCAAAAGTTGGGCGGCGGAAACTCTAAAAATTGTACTTGGATGGATCTCGGACCAACTCCGAACGTAACTAGGGCAGTGGCTACACTCACGGAATGAACGGAGGAGTGGCCGCCATGGGCGACGACTAAAGCGACGAAGAGAAGAGAAGTTCCGATCCGACGGCTAAGTGCCTGGAAATTAGAGTTAAAAATTTTAGTTGTGGTTTGGAGTGACCGATCGACTGCTTAGAAGTACATCAATCTGAAGCGCTATGGTGATGTTGGAACTCTGAAAAAAAGGAAGGGAACGGGGCAATTCAAACTTTTGCAAAGCCCACGGCCAAAAAATTCAATTTGGCAAAGAGAAAACAAATCCTGATGTTGAGAAGAAACCATGTAGGATTGAAGCAGGCGGCTAACGGCGGCACCACCTGCCAGGAGTGGAAGTAATATTTTTTTTAGGTCAGCAAGAGCGGTGACCCCGATACCATGTTAAAATATTTGAATAATAATATTGTTCATTGAATTATGGAGTACATGATATAATATATACTCCCTCCGTCCCATAAAACCTTTCTCCTTTCTTTTTTTATCCGTCTCACAAAACACTTCTCATTTCTATTAAAAAGTCACTTTTACCCCTTACTTTTTCATACCCTAACTATCACATCATACCTTTTTACTAATAATCTATCCATCAAATCATATTTTTACCCATCACATCAAGGACATTTTTGGAAATTCAATACCAAAATACACTCCCCTTAAATCCCTCCTAAAAAGCAAAACTCCCATGGGACGGAGGGAGCACACGAGAGATTCATAATACAGAGTATAACTAGAAATAGAGGATGAAAACTCGGTAAAATACTACATCTATCATAAATAGGAATATAAAGCTGATTAAAATACAAAGACCACTATAACTAATACTACCATAATTGTTATTATTATTATTATTGTCTAACCGATGAAATAAAGTAAAATGATTACACTTTTTAAATTAATGAAATTAACATTTAGTCAATCAACATCTTCAAATTTCAAAAAGAAAAGTTGTAAAAGATAGAAAACTGGGGTTTTTATTATCTTATAAATAAACAGAGAGTTTACATCTTTATATAAGCGAGACGAAACCCTAATTCTAAGAGAGAAGAATTTTTATTCCTGTCGGTTCAAAAAAAGCATCGAGGTAAAGAACCGAAAAGAAACCCTCGAAGGAGCTTATAATATGCTCATCTAATAAAAACTATGGAACAGATTACAACATCAATAATCATAATAACAACAACAATAATAACGTCTACATGACATAATCCTTCTGCCACGCCGGTGTGCTCTGAGCACGATGATTATATCCACCCCTTTCACGAACAACCTTGATATCACCCAGCTCGTGCATTTCCTGCTCATGCACGCCTGAGCTTCGTCCTTCTTTAGGCCCCTCCATATCACTTACCTTAGCACAAACCCTAGCATCCTTGTACACTTTCCCTTGTCGACAATAATACCCTTTGTTGGGAGCACAGTGAGAATCTTGTGAGCAAATACACAACCCTTCCAAAGCACAGCCCTCCTTTGTAATGACTAGTCCTTGTCTAAGACCCAAAACTTGATCACTCCAATCGCTTGAAAACAACCCTTTAGGATCATACTTGTCCTTAACTTTCAAAAACTCATCAAACTTTGCATACTTGTTTATTGCCCCAAGAAAGGCCACATTTCTGTTCTTCCCCCAATGTGGCAAGGCCCCATACTTGAAAATGGCAAGTTGTTCGATTTCTTCTATGAAGTCTTGATAAAGCCTAGGAGTTGCTGGGTCTTTGCTCCGGTAGTAGGTGATGTCAAAGTCTATCGAGTCATCTTGTTTCCCTAAATATGCACTCGAAGAGGTGACATATCTCATGAGTATGCCATCGTACAACCCCAAACCGCACAATGCATTTGTGTCCAAATTCACCAACTCTTTCACCTCTTCTATGAAACCTTTCACCTTAGATAGACTAATGCTAAATGTTGTTTGGTGAAAGAACAACCCCTTCACTCTAGGGTCCCATGCGCAAGTTGATTGTAATGTACCGTTTGAGGGGTCTAGGCACGTGCCGGATGCTTGGATCCGATTTTGGTATCCAATTATAGGATATCCAGTGAAGTTTTGACCTGTGACAATGATATATGAACAATTTATTATGTGCAACAAATTAAATTAAAGCTTGCAATGTCTCATAGATGCTCTATATAGATAAATAAATATGCAGTACACAAAACTATTACCGTCGTTGGTATATCCATATCCAACAAAACGTAAGATCGATGCGTAAAAACCAGCAAAATTGCACTTATTAATAGCTCCATCCTTCTGTGCTTCGATATCTTCCTCTGCACAAACACACTTATTATACAGTTACATCTTCATACGATGCAGCCTTATTAAGATTTAAGGCTCAATATATACGTATGGAATAGGAAATATTTGCTTCATACAGGATTAAGAGATAATATGTTTCCCTAAATAGGACCAAATATGTTCTATTTCTTTTAATTTACTAGTATTTTTTTTTATTGTCATTATGGTTCAAATGATGCCGATGTATAATGTCATACTAGCACACCGAGTCATTCGAAAATCAAATAAAAGACCTGCAATGATCTGTCGTCTGTTTTGGGACCAGGTGCAGTACCGGGTACAAGGGTGGGGGTTAGGAGGGTGTAAGATGTGATGTGATCACGGCCCTTATCATGGGCCCAACGGAGCAGTATAGGATTGAGGGAGTACTAGCTAGTTAAAGAAAAAAGTGAATTATTACCTGCACTCCTTGTGAAGTGTAACACTGTAACATAAATAAATGAAAAATCCAAATAAATTATTGAGACCATTTACTAACTTTTATCATCGTGGTTGTCCTACAATATAATGCTCAACTAGATATAAAAGTAAAAATGGATTAATTTATGATGAGCGTTAATTGTAAATACCCGCAGTTCTCACGAGTTGTAACGCAAGCGAAGGAATGGGTCGAAATCCCAAGAAATCATTGAGACCTCTAGAGGGCGTGTTTGTCTTGACCCGATCATCAATGCGCTTCACAACTTTTCTCCAGCTGGGAAACCAAGCCATGTCTCCAAATTCGTGTTGGGAACCAAACACGGTTGCGTCCTCCCCCAAGCTTGCGTCATCGTCCTCAACGTATGTCATGGCCCGTTGAAACATGGGTTCCAATTTCAGGGTCACCTTTTATATCACAATATATATCGCATGACAATGGTAGAAAGAATTATTAATATTCACCCATGGTATATAGTAGTTCAGAAATAACGTAACGGTACTATTTCATACAAGCCATAACATTTTATACAACTAACAACAATAACAGCAACATTATATCTTAATAATGTCTATAGGACGACTTTTAAGCGGGTAATGTACTAATGTGGCAAGCATAATAATGCAACTTTATTTGTAAGAAAGAAATTATATGAACGTGTGCCTGTGAAATGACTCCAAGGACCCCTAGGGAAACCCTAGCTGCATTGATCTCCGGGTCATCTTCCTCAAGTTGCCGGACGGTGGCATATCCCTCCTCCGGCGATGCCGGAGTCACAATCCTTACGCGGACAACGAAATCATGAACGGAGGTCCCCGCCGAGCGCCACAACGAGCTCCCATGGGCTCCTGTGGCCATCATCCCCCCCACCGTCAACCCCCACCAGTACGGCGTGTACGGCAACGCCAGCCCCGCCGCCGCCGCGTCGTCGATCAGCTGCCGGATGGTCACCCCGCCCTCCACCGTCGCCGTCATGCTCCGGTTGTCGACTTTCAGCGTGCGGTTGAGGTGCGCCGTGCTGATGATGAGACCGCCGCCGCCGCCAGGGCACGCCAGCTTGGGGATGCTGCTGGAGAACCGGGTGGCGGCTTTCATCTTCCGGCTCTCCCGGGAGGCGGCGGCGACGACGGCGACCAGCTCCTCCTCCGTTCTTGGGTACGCAGCCGCCGCGGCACGGCAGATGCTGCGGTCCGGGAAGGCGCCGTAGGTGTTGGTCACGGTGCAGTTTTGATTAAGTGCGAGGTTGGTGCATTTGATGGGATCATCTGGTGGGATGGAGTTAGCATGCGACAATATTATCATCATGTAAAAAAGGTGCATAACAATGGCGCACATTATCACTTGATAATAGCCCATCTCTTCGATCTACTCAGTGTTCTACAAATCTACTGAAGTGCGTGGGAGAAATATATATATATATAGCCATGATGATAGGGTAGGGTACTCAGTACTCTCAATATTTGTTTTTGTAGGACCATGCTACACTTACACCAAAAAAATATACCCCATTTGTACACCACAAGTTTGCACAAACATTTCGATGGTTTACACCGACACAAGTGTTGGTGCATTAATAAAAATTCACACGGACACAAATGTTGGTGCATTTAACAAAAATTAGTTGTACACCAACACAAAGTGTTGGTGCAAAACTGCGGGGTACAAATTGGGGTACAAAACTTGGGATACACATAGCATAATCCGTTTTTGTATTATAATCCATCATTTAATTTCCCACATTCGGCGTCCAATTAAATAGAAATGATATGATATATTAACTTGATAAAATAATACATACTTTGAAAATATTACACTCTCTCCCAAGCTAAAAACAATTTTTATTTTGATTTTTTTGGTCAAATATTGTCACTATTTTGATCATAAATTAAATATCCCAAGATGTATCATAACACACGATACATCAAAACTATATCTTAAGATGAACCAAATTATATAACATTTATATTATAAGTAAATATAATATTTATTTAATTAGATTATACTTAATTTGTGGTCAAAGAGTTCGATAAAAAAATCAAAACATGAAGAGTTTTAAGGAATGGAGGGAATATTTAAGAGAACTAGAGTAATGCTAGAGTTACAAACAAAGAGTTCACAAAATTCACAAACTTGCCTTTTTAACACTTTCATAGAAATAAGATGCATAAAAGGCAAGTTTGTGAAGTTTGTGAACTACTCCCTCCGTCCCACTCTCTTTGTCCACTTAACTTTTGGCACACCATCCAATGCACTTCTTTAATCCATTTTATCTTGTAATTTGTATATTAAAAAATTATAGAAATTAGTATATATTAATAATCTATATGTTAATAAAAATCAAACAAGATCACACATGACTATATTTAGGCTTACACATTGAAAGAACTTGGTGAGTCAAAGTGCTTAGATGAACATTTCTAAAAGTCAAAAGTGGACAAAGAGAGTGTGACGGAGGTAGTATATGTTTGTGACTCTAGCATTTTCAAATATTTAATTACTTTCAATGGAACACGAGGGTAAATGTTACTCGTATTGGCCTTGTTTGAATATTGGTTGTTGGTTGTTGGCTATTTTTTTCAGCTGTTTTGAATAGCTGATTAGTTTAGCTGGTTTGACCAGCTGCTCGGTAAAAATATTTGGTAAAATTAGTTGTTTGAGAATAGCTATTTCGAGATTTAAAAATTATACTTCATTTGTCTTTGAAAACCTTTCTCTTTTCTTTTTGTCTGCCCAATTTTTTTCGTTTCTTCTAAAAATTACTTTTATCCTTACTAATGCTTAAATTCCCTATCACATAACATCTACTCCCTACGTTCTCAAAAACTCTTCTTCTCTCATTTTTTTTACTTCCAACAAAACACCTCCACTTTTTCTTAAAAAACAACTTTACCCTTACTTTTTCATACCCTACCTATCATATCATACTTTATCTCTAATAATCTATCCATCACATCTTGTTTTTACCTATCACATTAAGGCAAAATTGGAAGTCAACTATAATTTAACACTTCCTTATTTTTACACAAAGTCAAAAGAGGAACTCTTTTTAAGAACGGAGGGAGTATTCATTATTAGTCTATCTGTCAAATTCTACTTTTACCCATCATAATCAAAGACATTTTTAAAACTCAATACTAAAATATACTCCCTCCGTTTCTCAAAAGAGTTCCTCTTTTTACTTTGAGGGAAAATAAGGAAGTGTTAAATCGGAGTATTTGACTTTCCAATTTTGGCCTTGATGTGATGAGTAAAAGTAAGATATGATAGTTTACTTGTTAGTAAAAAGTACTCCCTCCGTCCCCAATTTGATTACAAATTGCGGGTTACGGAGTAAAATTTTCAACTTTTTGAAATCATTTTATTTACAAATTGGTATATCAATAAGATATAAAAATTACATATTAAAAAACTACGTTAAAAGTTCTACAAAACAAGAGGTGACAAGAATATTTTATTTTATCAAATACTTAATGAAATCGTGTAAACAAACAAAAGTTATCGGGAGGAGAGAGAAAAAAATTGTAATCTATTTAGAGACGAAGGGAGTATGATGTAACAGGTAGGGTATGAAAAAGTAGGTGTAAAAGTGGTTTTTTAATAGAAAAGGGAAGTTTTTTAAGAAAAACAAAAAAAAATGAAACGGGTTGAATATTGATTCATTACTTTGGGCTTCTTTTATTTGGGCTACTCTATGTGGAGGCATCAGCGGCACTTTCCATCGATTGCACCTCCCTGCGATATTCATCTTCGAATGGCTCCACCGCGAGATTTCAGAGAATATGTCATTGGAATTAATCTCTTTCCTTCTTCACGGTCCTTCTTCACGGAGATTCCAACGATCGGTACCAAGAATAGGTAACTTTCTCTTTTCTTAAAAAATCATAATTGTTTTTGGGATGGTTGGCCTTCTTTCCTTTTTATGATGATTAGTCTCTGCGAAATTTGTTCTTCTTTCGAATTTTCCGGTTCAAATCTCTGGATTTTCTACCCTTATTGCTGTAAGTTTCCTTCTTGCGATTTATATTAGATCATATATAAATCAAATTTTAAGTAAGCCATTTCATCAATCTATTTTTTCATTGTAAGCCGCGTTCATACCTAAAACCTCTGATTAATTGACATGGCTTCCTAACCGATCCACCCTTTGTTGAAGATCAATCCATCAAGTGAATGCTGGAGAGTTTTGGTTCGTGTGATTTGACCGTACAAGATGCCAGTGTATAATGATGAGAAGATGACGAATTCGATTGAAATGATATTCATGGACGAACATGTAAGAATTGTACTCTTATTCGTATTTTGCATACAATATAAAATTTCTGTTTAATATGATTTCTTATAATTTTTTAGTGGCTGGAAGGTTATTTTGCTTTTACTTTCAAAACACAATTATACTAATCTGTATAAAAAACCAAAATTCTTCAATTGCCCATATTGAATAAATAAATGAAGAATGATAAGTCTGCTGTTCTTAAAGTATAATGAGTCTGCTTTCCTTGAAGCTTCTATTTTCAGCACCATAAAAAATAATTCTTTTTACTAAAGTACTGAAGAGTTGAGCCTGTTCTTATTTTCAGATTTATAGTCTGCTATTTTTTAACATATTTTATGGTGTGGAGTTTAGTTTTTTGTCTCTTGAAGTTTCTCCAGATTCAAAGTATTGAAAAAACAAAACACACTATAGTCTGTTCTGATTCTAAATATTAAAAAACAAAACACACTATAGTCTGTTTAGTTTTTTTAGTGCCTATTCATGTTGAAGTTTCTCCAGTGCCTAAAACCATGAGACTAAATTTTTTTAATAGTGCCTAAGGAGGAATTCTTATAATTTATGTGATAATAACACTGCTGTTCTTAAAGTGTAATAAGTCTGTTGTCCTTGAATCTTCTATTTTCAGCCCCATAAAAAACATATTTTTTATTAAAGTATTGACGACTTAAGTCTGTTCTTATTTTTCTGACCTTAATTTCAGATTTATAGCCTCCTGTTTTTTAACATATTTTATGGTGTGAAGTTTAATTTTATAGTCTCTTGAACTTTCTCCAGTCCTTAAGTATTGAAAAAACAAATCACACTATAGTTTGTTTACTTTTTATAACTAATACCTGAAATGATAAAAAAATATAAATACAAATAATCACCCAAATCAATATCAACACACAGAATAAGAATTCTAGAGTCAGTGATATGATGTGTAGATTGACGGTCTGCTCTGTGAATTTAAGGCCAACAAATCTCCTATGGATCTCAACCTTTTTGTTCTCCACTTCTCCTCATCATCTCCTCAAATTGTTTTTTTATATCCTCTTCCTTATCTTTATATAAATAAATGTTTTTTATTAAAGTATTGAAGCTTTTTCATAAATAAACGTTGAAGCTTCTTTTTTCATCTCAATGAATAAATGATTTATTTATTATTAAGGTATTGAACACTTCAACCTGTCCTTATTTTCAGATTTATAGTCTGCTGTTTTTTTATCATGTTTTTTGGTGTTCATTATTTTTTATAATCCTTGAAGATTCTCAACTGCCTAAGACTTCAAGCTTATGAAATCCCCATAACTATTCATGTTTCCTTGATATTTTGTAGGAAACTACTATCCATGTCACTGTAAGAAAAACTCTGGTGGGAACTTTTGAAAAGAAAATAAAGAAAGGATGAGTATATGTATTTGCTTACTTCGGCGTCGGCAATAGAAGTGGATATTATCGCACTTCACGACATGACTTTCGCCTAAATTTCAAAGCAAGGACGACTGTCACTGAAACCAGTTGTGACAAAATACCACTTTATGGAATTAGGTTGGTTGCATTTCCGGAAATCTTGCATGCCGATTCAAACTATCCATATTTAGTCGGTAATACTCTTCCCTCTCGCCTCAAATCTATACTTTAATTTCAATTATATAATTGTTAAAGAGGTGGATTATATTATATGGAATGTGTTATGGTTAATTTTGTTGAATATCATCATTATATTGTATACACTATGGGGATTCATACAGCTACTGGAAATGAAAGAGATATACTGAGGGAGTCAAAAAGAACAAAGATGATTGTGATCACGTTGGAGGCCGAAGGGTAAAGTGTTATTATGTTTTTTTCGTAAGACAGGTGATGTTTTTTACATAACATACAGGTACTGAAATGTTTTTAACATTGGTTGACAGACAAAGGTTGGATGTTACTTTATTTGGTGAGTATGTTGACTTGCTCAAAGGCTTCTTTCGACAAGCACCGTTGGAACATGCAGTGATCGTCATTCAATATGCTAAGGTCAAGATGTTTCAAGGTATTGGTAACTTGAATACTATTCTGTTTTTGTTTCCAGTTTAAAATGTTGTTAATCGACTTTGTTTCTTTACATGTCATAGTATATTAC